AGGAAACCCCTCAAAAACTGGGTTTTGAGGGATTTCCGTTTTTCTTGCAGAAATTGCGGAAACGTCTCAAAAAAACCGGTTTTTGAGGGGTTTCCGCTTTTTTTTGAGGCATTTCCGTGTTGAGACGTTTCCGTGTTGAGGCGTTTCCATAGCACCCAGAGATCGTCATGATCATAGGGAAAAAGATGGTACAAATTTTGTACAGTCGTCTATAGCCATCGTCTAGCTCTTCAATTAGTATCGTCCTGTGTAGATATATCCTGTGTACGTGCAGTTATGATAACACGCTAAATCTTAATCCTATATCTCTTGAATTTTGATTAATTCTCAATCTCAACTCCCTTCAACTCGTCTCGGGCCCCCCGCCCCGGCAGCTCTTTTAACCACCCCTACAGTCTACACCCCCCCCCTTACCTTCCCTTTACTTACAGCTGATCTCTGGAAATGAGAAAGCAAAATAATTCAGTTGTAAACATCATATCATCAGTGTTTAGAACAGCTGTTGAAAATATAGTAAGTTTTTACCGAGTTCCTGGTTATAAATTCTCTTTATCATTTTTATCTTTTTAGTCAAGTTTACTTTTTTGTAGTTGTATCCTGGACCCCTGATAAAATTGCTAGTATTCCTCCTAGTATCCTGGTATACTTCATATAATCCTGGTAGATTAATAAACGTTTATTTCTATACGCACTTAGGCAGGCGTCTTAAATGAATCCTGATATATATACGTATCCTGGTTTAAATACTTCTGAGTATCCTGGCCTAGACTTCCTAGAATCATGGTATACTTCCTAGTATCCTGGCAAACTTACAAGTATCCTGACATACTTCCTCGAAGCCTGGCGAACTTCCTAGCATCCTGTTATACTTCCTAGTATCCTGGTATACTTCCTAGTATCCTGGTATACTTCATATAATCCTGGTAGATTAATAAACGTTTATTTCTATACGCACTTAGGCAGGCGTCTTAAATGAATCCTGATATATATACGTATCCTGGTTTAAATACTTCTGAGTATCCTGGCCTAGACTTCCTAGAATCATGGTATACTCCTAGTATCCTGGTATACTTCCTAGTATCCTGGTATACTTCCTAGTATCCTGGTATTCTTCCTAGTATCCTGGTATACTTCCTTGTATCCTGGTATAGTTTCTATTATCCTGATAGTGATATACTTGTTTTCTGGTATACTTCCTAGTATCCTGGTATACTTCCTAGTATTCTGGTATACTTCCCAGTATCCTGGTATACTTCCTATTATCCTGTTATAATTCCTTGTATCCTGGTATACTTCCTATTATCCTTGGATGGTTCCTAGTATCCTGGTATATTTCCTAGTATCCTGGCATACTTCCTAGTATCCTGGTATGCTTCCTAATATCCTGGTATGCTTCCTAGTATCGGGTCATTCCATGTCAAGTCAACCACCTATGGACGGCATGTCACAGATTTTGCTGAAATTTTGCATACAATTTGGGATATGAAAAAAATGCCGGAACCCGAAGATGAGCGTTCTGAGACCTCCGAGGCCGGAGATATGGCTCCGGAAAGTTTCCAATAATTCGAGATTTTGAGGCCGGCCTCTATATTTCAAATGGCTCTAACTTTGTTGTTTTAGAAGATAGCTCCAAAATTTTTTCAGTTTTGAATAGGTAATCACAAGCCCGTTATTTGGCGTTAACAGAAAAAATATCATTAAAATATTATTTACAAGTCATAATTGCATTTCTTTATTTTCAGCCTCCGTTTGAGGATGTGTACCAATTCCGATTGTGTTGATTTTTTTTTACATATTTTTATACTGCCATAAGGAAGGGGTTAGAAAAGTTAAATTTATATGTATTTGTTCCTGTTGAGGAGGAGACCTCATAATGTAATGCTAATTTAGATTTCTTAATGCAACTAATAGGTAGAATTTCTGCTTAATTATTGTTATCTCTCCTAAACATTGATAAATATTTAATATTTGATACTTTTATGTGAGTAAGTGATCTAAATTATAATAAGAGACCATCAATAGTATTTATTTCAACTATTGTACACTAAAAATGCATGTGTGTATTACTAATTTTTGAATAGATATTAGTCTTAGATGCAAACACACTGTGTGACTGAGTCTTTTTTAGCAGTGGGGGTATGATTATTAATTTTACCCCCACCTAAGACTAATATCTATTTAAAAATTAGTAATACACACATGCATTTTTAGTGTACAATAGTTGAAATAAATACTATTGATGGTCTCTTATTATAATTTAGATCACTTACTCACATAAAAGTATCAAATATTAAATATTTATCAATGTTTAGGAGAGATAACAATAATTAAGCAGAAATACTACCTATTAGTTGCATTAAGAAATCTAAATTAGCATTACATTATGAGGTCTCCTCCTCAACAGGAACAAATACATATAAATTTAACTTTTCTAACCCCTTCCTTATGGCAGTATAAAAATATGTAAAAAAAATCAACACAATCGGAATTGGTACACATCCTCAAACGGAGGCTGAAAATAATGAAATGCAATTATGACCTGTAAATAATATTTTAATGATATTTTTTCTTTTAACGCCAAATAACGGGCTTGTGATTACCTTTTCAAAACTGAAAAAATTTTGGAGCTATCTTCTAAAACAACAAAGTTAGAGCCATTTGAAATATAGAGGCCGTCCTCGAAATCTCGAATTATTGGAAACTTTCCGGAGCCATATCTCCGGCCTCGGAGGTCTCAGAACGCTCATCTTCGGGTTCCGGCATTTTTTTTCAGATCCCAAATTGTATGCAAAATTTCAGCGAAATCTGTGACATGCCGTCCATCAGGTGGCTGACTTGACATGGAATGACCCTATCCTGGTATGCTTCTTAGTATCCTGATATACTTCCTAGTATCCTGGTATGCTTCATAGTATCCTAATATACTTCCTAGTATTCTGGTATACTTCCTAGTATCCTGGTATACTTCCTAGTATCCTGATATGCTTCTTAGTATCCTGGTATATGGTATATTTCCTAGTATCCTGTTATACTTCCTAGTATCCTGTTATACTTCCTTGTATCCTGGTATACTTCCTTGTATCCTGGTATACTTCCTATTATCTTGGGATGGTTCCTAGTATCCTGGTATGCTTCTTAGTATCCTGGTATATTTCCTAATATCCTGATATACTTCCTAAAATCCTGTTATGCTTCCTAGTATCCTGGTATGCTTCCTAGTATCCTGGTATGCTTCTTAGTGTCCTGATATACGTCCTAGTGTCCTGGTATGCTTCCTAGTATCCTGATATACTTCCTAGTATCCTGGTATACTTCCTAGTATCCTGGTATACTTCCTAGTATCCTGGTATGCTTCTTAGTATCCTGGTATATTTCCTAGTATCCTGGTATACTTCCCAGTATCCTGGTATACTTCCTATTATCCTGGTTTTATACTTCCTTGTATCCTGGTATGCTTCCTAGTATCCTGGTATACTTCCTACTATCCTGGTATACTTCCTAGTATCCTGGTTTACTTCCTTGTATCCTGGTATACTTCCTAGTATCCTGGTATACTTCCTAGTATGCTGATATGCTTCCTAGTATCCTGGTATAGTTCCTAGTATTCTGGTATACTTCCTAGTATCCTGGTATAGTTCCTAGTATTCTGGTTTACTTCCTTGTATCCTGGTATAGTTCCTAGTAACCTGGTATACTTCCTAGTGTCTTGGTATACTTCCTAGGATCCTAGTATACTTCCTAGTATCCTGGTATACTTCCTAGTATCTTGGTATACTTCCTAGTATCCTGGTATACTTCCTAGTATCCTGATATACTTCCTAGTATCCTTGTATACTTTCTTGTATCCTTGTATACTTCCTAGTATCCTTATTTACTTCCTAGTATCCTGGTATACTTCCTAGTATCTTGGTATACTTCCTAGTATCCTTGTTTACTTCCTTGTATCCTGGTATACTTCCTAGTATCCTGGTATATTTGCTTGTGTACTCTGGGGCAATTGATAGTTAATAGGGAAAACAAATTCGTCTCCAGAGGAAACAATGTTACGAAGATTGAATTCAGGAAAACCAATTTCAACTGTTACTAAACCATTCCTATATTAGAAACTTACTCATTTCTATCAAATCCATCTGGATATTCACAGTAAAACTATTTTTGTTTGAAAGTCGAAAAATGTGCCACGTCTCTCGTATTTAAAGTGTTTTCAGACGTAACTTCAATTAAAGAAAACAGTTTGTTGGAAATCAGATTATTTTAACTTGAAATGAGATTAACTTTAGTGGGTTAATATAATACTTAACTAAATAGAGTCCTCAGTTATTTATTTATGAAAATGCTGTTTCCCTAAATGTCAGCTTTATTCTCATTTAAATTTAAAAATAGCTTTTTAATATTTGATGAGGCTCGAAGTTGAAATGAGTTTTTTCTCTCAAATGTTTCAAACATTTTTAACCTTCATTAGTTTGTAGTTTAACAAATAGTTAACTTATTATTAATTTCACATTTGGGAAATTTTGAATTTATGATATTTGAATACTTTTTGTTATGAGAATTAGTATTTTACTTAACTTTAGATTGGTTTTCTGCAGGACGGAAAACTTTAGTTAAACATAGAACTTCGACTCCGGGAAGACGACAAAAATCCGGAGAAGAAATATCTGAATTTTTTTACCCGCATTTATCCTTTAGTCGAGCCCTGTCACGTGATCCTGGACGAGTCCCGTTTTCTGGTTTATCTTTCTCCGGAACGAGTATTTTCAGTTCGACATCTTCCAATTTAAATTCTCATGGTTCTCTCAACATACAAAAAATAGGTTTTAATGAACTCCGTTCTAATATTCGAACCTTCAGTTCTCTGACACCGGATTCCCCTATAACTCCAAGTACCAGAGCGGACTCCGGTGATCAAAGTTCTAGAAGTATGCTTCAAGACAAACTCAGGAATAATCAAATTTTATCCCGGAATTAAACTTTGGGGAAGAACAAAAAACAGAACTAAAATATTTTATCTATGATTTTACATTAGCAGGGGGTAACGACCCCCCCCCCCCCTCTTCCGTATTGTTGCAAGATAAATATAAAGCGTTCAAGTTTAAACTTAAAGAAAATGTCCCCAGGGGAATAAACTTCACTTGAAGCTGAGCAAACCTCACCAGAGGACAATAGAGGACAATGGTTTAAGGAAATCCTCAAAATTAATTTAATCTTATTTTATACTGCAAGGCTTTTCCTTCTTTCGAACCCTGCTTATAATTTTAAAACTTCAATGAAAAAGTCATTCAAAGGAACTGAGTTTTTAAACTGTGATTTTCAAATCCCAATATTATAAGACCTAAATATTTCAAACTTTGAATTCTGTAAGATCAAATAAACGAAGTTTAAAATACGAAAGGTTTACACCATAGGTGGCAATGATATATGGATAGGAAAATTTAGGAAAATGGAAAAAAATAACTCAGTTCCTTCGTCTCCATATACAACCTTAACACACATTAACATTTACCACCCCCTCCCCCCGGCTCTACCTCCTCTCTAAATTTAATCATGTACGATGACTACTAAGTTTCTAAAGATAATCCTGGGAAAATTAGAACTTTGTTAAACAGAGAATACGCTACTCTGAGCCCTGTTCCTATCTCTATAGCACAGTTTTTAGAACGAGGGGGTAGAGGGAAGGTAGGTTCAGTTTAAATTCCTCTGTATTTTAAAGGGACTGTATGCGTAATTTCAAATGATCCTCCGTTTATAGAATGGCATGTTCCATTCACAACGATAAAACTTGAACCTTTGTCTGATCAAGGATGAGTGAGATATCCTTGTTTTTCTAGCTCAAAACTGATATTCGACTTACTCTCATATGGATCGTACAGTGTAATTTCCAGTTTCCCGGCACAAATAGAAGATCACTTGAAATTACGTATACAAGCCCTTTAAGATTTACAAATTTGGAGGAAGATTATTTAGAAATTTAAAATTTGCAGAAACTGAACCATTATCCCAGGATTTTAGGATTTTTATCTTCTTAACTTTTAACAACCTGTTTAACAACCTGTTTAACCTACCTGTTTAACAACCTGTTTAACAACCTGTTTAACCAACCTGTTTAACAACCTGTTTAACAACCTGTTTAACAACCTGTTTAACAACCTGTTTTTCACATACTTATTATTTTGTAAGTGTGACTTTAAAGTAAGTCTTATACAACTATTTCTCAAGTTCAGTTTACAATTTCTAGCAGGGCCGTAACTAAATTATAAATTAAAAACAAAATAAATTAATGGTAAATCAGTGGTTTCGATCCATTTAATTTTGATCCAGGTTCCAAGTCATGAACATTTATTCAAAATTTACTGAATTTTTTACAGAAGAAGAATTTTTAAATTTTTCCCTTTTTTCACTTATTTTTATACGATGAAGCATTCAGAGATATGGATATTTTTAATAATCTCTCTTTTTTCAACAGTTCAGATTTCATTATTGAGAACGTCAGCTTTTGTTTTGCTGTTTTTGGTAAAGATTTTGCCCTTGGATCCGTGGATCCGCATATATTTGCGGATCCAGGAAGCCAAAATGTTGCGGATTCTAAGCACTGGTTTAAAGAAATAATCCTTTATAACAAAACTTGGAAAATTATCCTACCCCACCCATGACAACCCCCACCTTGTNTAGTGGAACACCTTAAAAAACCTGATTTCTAGTGTTTGATTTTAATTTGATATTTTTAGATATCAGAGGAGGATAGTTATACTCATCTAGTTGAAGAAGTTCTTGTAAGATTAGCGCATCTCATCAGTGAGCTTCAACACCTACCTCAGGTATATACCTAGTTGGAGATACAGTACCTACCCCCCGTATATTCCTAGTAGGAGATACAGAACCTACCCCAGATATATACCTAGTAGGAGATCAGTACCTACCCCAGGTATATACCTAGTAGGAGATACAGTACATACCCTAGGTATATACCTAGTAGGAGATATAGTACCTACCCCAGGTATATACCTAGTATGAGAAAAATTACTTACCCCAGGTATATACCTAGTAGGAGATACAGTACCTACCCCAGGTATATACCTAGTAGGAGATACAGTACCTACCCCAGGTATATACCTAGTAGGAGATACAGTACATACCCTAGGTATATACATAGTGGACATACAGAACCTACCCCAGGTATATACCTAGTAAGAGATACAGTAACACCTACCCAAGGTATATATCTAGTAGGAGATACAGAACCTACCCCAGGTATGTACCTGTAGGAGATACAGTACCTACCCCAGGAATATACCTAGTAGGAGAAACAACACCTCTACCCCAGGTAAATAAGTAGTAGTAGATAAAGCACCTACCTCAGGTATGTACCTAGTAGGAGATAAAGCACCTACCTCAGGTATATACCTAGTAGGAGATACTGAACCTACCCAGGTATATACCTAGTAGCAGATATAATACATACTCCAGGTATATACCTAGTAGGAGATACAGTACCTACCCCAGGAATATACCTAGTAGGAGAAACAACACCTCTACCCCAGGTAAATACCTAGTAGGAATTACAGAACCTACCCCAGGTATGTACCTGGTAGGAGATACAATACCTACCCCAGGAATATACCTAGTAGGAGAAACATCACCTCTACCCCAGGTAAATAACTAGTAGTAGATAAAGCACCTACCTCAGGTATGTACCTAGTAGGAGATAAAGCACCTACCTCAGGTATATACCTAGTAGTAGATACAGTACCTACCCCAGGATATAGCAGGAGATACAACACCTATCTTTGGTGTTGTAAGATGAGATACAAGACATAAGACACAAGTTCTTGTTTATATGTTTCTTATTCATTTGTTTGTCTTAAAATCCCTATTTACCTTAATCCCTAATATTTGCTTGCTCCAGGAGTTGAAGGAGGAAGAGGATTACAAGTATCTTGTTGAGGATTATATTCTCACATTCTCTCAGATAATTAAATTCGAGAATACAGCCCCAGACACGGACACCCTTAGGGAAATCTTTTACTTACTCCTGATGGTGAAGAAACTACAGACAAGAAATATCAGACTCTGAACATAGTAAATTAATCTTTTTTGTTTTAATTAAAGGGAATGCAGTCTAAATTTAAAGTGACTCACCTAATATAGATGGTGATGTCGATCCTCAGCGGTACATTTTAAACCCTGATCAATAACGTTAAATGTATTGTCCTTTTCTAGCTTTAAAGTGTTTGAATTTATTTAATTTGATAAGTTCACTCCAGCAAGCCACTTTAATGAGAAGCTGCAATTGAAAGTAAAAAATTATCAAAGAGACATTCATGAATTTCTTGTTCATTTTTTATTAGACAAAGCTTTTCAGTGTACCTTGTATACATAGTACATGCTTCTCTATAAATGTGGGGTCACTTCAATTTACGTCTACAGTCCTTTTATGCAAGTTCATTTCTGATTTACAGCGTGTTAAAGGGTATTTTATTTCTCCTCTAAAATTGCTCTAGTCGATGTAAATCTAAAAACTACTCGATAATTAATTTGGATACCCTTTATATTGGGTTCTATATCAAACAGAGAACTTAGCCTAGAACTTTTTACTTTTTCTGGAATAAAGTTTTATATTCTTTGTATTTTCCTTCTAGAACCTTCGAACCTCATTGATCTTTTCTTGATCTAGCTTTTAAGAATATTATAAAGGAATTTAATTTTGAATTTCGTTTTCCGAATTCCATTTTAATTAAATCAGCCAGCTCCCCCCCCCCTTAAACCCTGTTTATAGATTTAATCCTCTTCTAACTGTTTTTGGTCTGTAGGCTTTATGTTTCTGTTTTTGTTAATATGTAGATTTTATAAATTAGTTAAAAGTTTTAATTAAGAAAATGGACGGAGGTGCTCAAAACCTCAAAACAAAGACATCGAGTAAGTTTTAGATAAGATAATTCCTTTAGTTTTTTAACATGAAAGATGTTTTCAATCACATTAGTAAATGAATGCTAAATATTTTGTATACAGTTATCTAATATTCTTTAATATAATAAGGAAAAAAAAAATACCCCCCCCCCCCTCCCATTCTACATAATTTGTTTTTAAAAAAGTGAAAATGTGTTTGTTTTGACATTAAGTATTAAAGAATTGCCCGTGGAAAAAAATAAGAAATTATAAAAAGAAATATTTCGAATTTTGTTTAGCCTATGACACCCCTGGCCATCCATGAGTGTCCGCAAAAAAATCAACCCATTCGGTCCAGCCGTTTGGTCGGCCAGATGGAACATGTATATGAATGTCTTGTTTTATTATATAAATTTATGGCTGAAGAAATATCCGATAAGCAAAGTTTGCACATTTTTTAAAACTTTTCCTTAGCATGATTTTTTTTCGTTTTGCAAAGAAATATACTAAATTTTAAAATTTTACGTGATAAGAAATTGGTATATTTTACGTTTTTTCGAAAAATTTACCAAAAAACCAAAAAATTTCGTGTTTTAATACGCGTATTTTACGAAAAATATAGGTATCTACGAACCGTTGGTGAAATACGTAAATTGGTAAATAGCGTATTTAAGGATGTTGTACCTACAATGGCTGCCGCCTGCATGAAAATGAAAAATAAATTTGGAATTAACTTAGAAGGAGAGGAGTGTGCTCTCACCAGGTTATATATTTTGTTTATGTTTAGAATTCAACTTTAGAATTAAAATAAAAGTAGAGTTAAGAAATACAGTAGTCTTATTTAAAACTGTAATTAATCTAGACGCAAAAGACGACCTTGAATGTCATTTTAAGCTGAAAACGCTGACCAATGAATTTATAATTGTGCAGAGTATGTACTGGATTAGCTATACATAAACATCCCTGAATTGACGTTTTAACATAATATTGTACAGGACTGTACAGTATGTACTGGACCGGTTGTACATGAGCCGAATCTCCTTGAATATGTTGACTGATCAACATCTAATAATATACGGGCACAAATCTACTATTGAGAATCAGGTAGATTCAGTAGTAAGGAAGATGATAATTGTTGTCGGGGTTGTCGGGGTTGTTGGTGTTGTCGGGGTTGTTAGGGTTGTCGAGGTTTGCAGGGTTGTCCAGGTTGTCGGGGTTTTCCTGGTTGTCGAGTTTTTCAGGGTTGTCGGGGTTGTCGAGGTTGTCAGGGTAGTCGGGGTTGTCGAGGTTGTTAGGGTTGTCGTGGTTGTCCGGTTTGTCTGGGTGATCCGGGTTTTCAGGGTTGTCTGGAATTTAATGTCTGGCATTTTTTCTTCAACTATCTTGGGTTCTCTTTACACGGGCAGTATTTAATGTACAATTCATTTAATTATACATTGAAGAGATATATTAAAAGAAGTGTGTACATTTTTAGGAACAAAAGTGATTGCTTCACGGTTAGATTTTAATGTTAAAGATGTAGAAGTGGCTTGTTTAATAAAAATGTATCTGAATACAAATTTTATCCCCTTATTTATTGATGAAAATAAAAAAAATGAGTTTATTTCCGTAGAAAGCTAGAATGATCTTGAATATTTTAAAAATTTCCCAAAAAAATATAGTTGAATAACTAAATTATGTTTTTTAAATACTTAATATATGTTCAGATAGGAGTTATCCATCCTAATACTGATATAGAATCTGTGGTGCTTCACGCCTACCAGAACGCCCTGTATCTTTGCGAACAGGAAAATTTTGTGCTTTCCTTATTTTCATATTTGTAAGGGAGTCTACTTGAATTTTAAAAAAGGGTGAAGAACAAATCACGATTTTATTTTGAAGCATGAACACATTTTATGGTGATCTGCGCTATGTTTCGGAGGTACAGATATCAATAATCCATCTGATTTAACTTTTCTGCTAGAAAAAGAAAATTGAAAAGTTACAAATGAAAATAAGGACGGAAGGGGGCCGGGGGGGGATGAGAGGGATGAGAAGAGGGAATTCTGTAATTGATTAAAGTATCTGTCCCAGATTACTGCACTATTTTAACCCGATTTTTAAAGAATTTATTTAGAAAAGATATTTTATTTTAAACATTTTTTTATTAATCACAAAACGACTGCTGGTACAGTGCTACTTGGCGGGACCAGGTGTAGAGGTCAAGTCCCAGAATACCACGTGTCCGGATACTAAAGTTACACTCACACAGGTAGGATTAGATTAACATTTTTAGGTCAAAGGGACTGTAGACGTTATTTCATGTAACTCTCTGTTTATAAAATAGCATGTCAGAAAGCTTATTTGATCAAGAATAAAACAAGAATCCATGTTTTTCATTTTAAAAATTTATAATTTTTGATTCTGGTATCTTTATAAAATGCGGAATTCTATTGAAGAAACATTGGAGGCCGAAAACATTTCTGAATTAAATAAGATTTAAGTACGATGGTAGGCGATTATATCAATATAATGAAGACGACTTTTGATTCTAATTTTGATTTATAAACGGAGAGAAACTGTCAATCAAGAAAGCTTCTCTTTATTTCCTTGTAAACTTGTTATTTGAAAAAAGCTTGTTAACAATTAAAACTGAAATAAGACAGTCGTCTTCATTATATTTCTATTATTGCCTACCACCATAGAAAAACAGCGATATCTTTCTCATTATTGATCAATGACTAGTTAAAGATTTAAATGGTACCGTTGTGAATCAGTTATGCCCCTCTCTAGAAATGAAAGGTCACTTATAATCAGAACGACATGCAATCAAAAATAATCTGTAACTTCTGATTATATTTTCAATTAAACTGAATTTTAGTTAATAAATTATTTTAAAGCTACTCTTTTTTGTCTTTTAAACAAGAAAAGCTGAAACGGTTTCAAAATAGAGAAAAAGGACTTTTTTGTTTCCTGAATGTATACTATACAGTGTACGCAATTTATAGCACACACAGTGTTTTTTTCTCTCATTGTCATGAATTTAAATGTGATCATCTTGACTTTCGAAATTTTCTATCTTGAAATATAATTACAATATTGCAAAAAAAAAATAATAATAAATGTACAAGCCAAGTATTATTATTAAATTAAGACTTAAAAAGCCTGTTTTTTAAAGGATATTTTATCATTATACTCTGAAAGTAGGAAAATATTTTTCAAATATTTAACTTTGATGGGATACAGTAAAAAAATAGAAACTTGTGGAATAGAAAAACGACATATAGCAATATTCAAGTGTGATTAATGGTGTTTAAATCGCTTTACTAGTAACTTAAATATTTTTACTAGTAACTTAAATATTTTATCAAATGGAATTGGTCTGAGTACATGGCACAATTGATGTATATCATGTTCATTTGTTCTACTAAAAATCATGACTTGAGTTTCAAAGTCGTCATTATATTTCACAGTTTTCAGGTTCTCATTGTAGAAAGTTTCAATAAGAAATTGAAATGCAAATTTTAAATCAAGAAAAAAATAATTTAATAAATAAAATTTATTAGGTTCCATCGCATATCTACCATATAGTGTTCGAAATAATGAAAAATGCAATGCAGGCAACAATGCTAAAACACGAGGCAAGTTTTTTTTTTGAGGTATGATAGAACATCTGGAGCAAATATTTTCTTAAAAAATGAAATAATATCTTTTTACCCCGTTATATCATTTTATGTATATATATTTTTCATTATTTATTTTAGAGAAATTGCATAAAAATCAGTTACCCTCCCTTTTAAATTCTTGTAAATGCGTTGAAGGCCGCCTGACCTAATTTTTAACCCTTAGACATTTTCCACTTTGATCCTTTTTTATTACTTTTTCACGTCCTTAAACTACAAATATAAAATATCTCGATTCTGGGATCTATCCCCCCTCCCCCCAACCCCTACGTGCTTCAACGTTTTTTTTGGGAAATGTTCATAGGGAACTTCTCCTTAAGTCATTTTAACTATATTATATATTAGTTATAATGTTTTTTTTTCTTAGTTACTATGTGTTTTTTTTTCTTAATTCTAATGTTATTTTTCTTAGTTAAAACGTTTTTTTCTTAGTTACAATATGTTTGTTTTTTCTTAGTTTTAATGTATTTTTTTTCTAAGTTCTAAGAGTTTTTTTTCTTCGTTGTAATGTTTTTTTATAGAAGGATGAAGGATCTGTAATCCCCCCTATCAAGGTTCTAATTTGCCAGTCGGACCGAGATATTACAATTAGGTAATTTTATGACCTGGATACATTCTTCTACATTTAGTAGTATAGAATTTATAGAAATTGATTACTTGCCTCACAAACCACATGTCTTTGCATGCAATCTTATGTATGATCAAATAGTTCAATACACATAGATTCAGCCTGCTCAGTAAAATTCTCGAAAAAATTGTCGCAACATCTTGGTTTTGATTTCACCGCTCTAACTCACTTTTGCTTTTCTGTAGCCCTTTACATGTACATTTTAGCACTATTAAGCACTTGTTGTTAGCTCTGGTTTTTCAGAAGTAATTTGCAAAATTCTCATTGATTATTGCTTGAGAGCTTGAAACCTTTAAATCACAGTAAATATCAAAGGTTTTAATCATCAGGTAGCAAAGATATAAGGATTAGAAAATTCGAGTCTTGAAAGTATTTATTCCCTTTAGATAATTTTCTATATTTTGGGGTAATTTCTATTTTTTAGCAGTCTTTTATTTAGACAAATTTTAAATTGGCTGTCTACGTCATTTCAAGTAGCCCTTTTTTTCTATTTTAGATATTTTTTTTCTAGTTTGAATAATTTTTTATTTAGATATGGTTTAGATAAAATCTTAATTTTAAATAATGTAGTATTTATTCTATTTTTGTTAGTTTTTGTATTCTAGATAATTTATCTGTTTTAAATAATTTAACTTTTTCTTAAATTTTTCTGTTTTTAATGATTTTATATTTTTTAGGGTAAGCGATTTAGGAGGAGGAATAGATAGGAATGCACAAGAGAAAATGTTTAAATATCTCTACACTACATCTCCCAGGGTAACTAAACTTTTTAGGAGGGGGGAGGGCGGTCTATACACCTAGGGTTGTTAAATCGTTTTTGAAAACGATCATTGAATGATCGTTTTTTTTCGTTTATTGTTTTTTGTTTCGGTTTTCAATCATTTTAAAAACAATCGTTTTAAAAACTTAAAAAATGAGATGGGTATCTCTACACCACCTCTCCCAGGGGGGTTCTACAACTTATAGCATAATTTCACAACGATGGACTAATACAGAAAATGAAAGTTTAAATTACGATAGACTTCTAGTTTTTTGTGAAGCCTCCTTCGAAAGCCAAAAATACTAGAATATGTAAAAAACGGATATATATACTAACAATTCTCGAAGCATATTTGGGACTTTGATTTGCCTTATTCCGCGTCACTGTTTCTTCATGATATTCCTTAGTTTTTATCCTATATCCTTTGCTCAGATTATTAATGTTAATATTAAGTTAAAAAAAATATATTGGGCAAGTCATGTACAAAATTATTATGTTTTTAAAAATTGATCAAGAGATTTATAATTTATCCTCTTATAAAGCTTATCCCAAAACTTTCCTGAAATTTAAAATGAGAAAGAGAGAAGAATGAGACTTGCTGGTCATAATCTAAATTACGTATTTTTAATAGTGGGGGAAAAAAAGAAATCTGTAATTTTTGCAAAGCAACGCCAAGAAATGTTTGCATCTTTGTAAATGACAAAAGTTAGTATATATATTCATTTTAGGCAAGTATAACTGGAGAGATTGTTCCATTATCTGGTCTTGGATATGGTCTACCATTGGCCAGACTTTATGCCAGGTAAAAATAACACTATTCCATTATCTGGTCTAGGATGTGTTGTACCATTGGCCAGACCAGTATTCCATAATTAACAATTAGAAGATCAAAAAAGAAAAAAGAACAAAAATAAAAGATGGTACTCCATATTATAGTTTTCCATAGTATGGTTACATGGAATTAAAATAAGAAAACTCAGTTGCTTACCACTCTTGGAGGGTACGGACCTCTCTCATCGCAGCTCCAGGCTGCACAGTTTGGAGGAGCGCTGGGTTTAGTTGCCCATGACGTATCCTACAGGAGAGTAGCAAAGCATAGGATTATTTAGTGAACAAGAATTCCATCTCATCTTTAGCTTTGTTCACATCAACATCTCAGCTGAAAGAAGGAAAACAAAAGTATAACCCTTGATAGATATACAAGCCATGCACAACTATAGTGGTTTTTTACTTGGCCGGTTGTGAGGACTGAACTGCTGTGGAAGATTCCACCTGATGGGGCTTTAAGGCTTTCAACTCCCCATTTTGCATAAGCAGTGCAGTTATGGGTTTCCTTAAAATTTCTCTTAGTCGGAAAGACTTTAACATTAAGGAAAGCAGGAGGCTTTTACTGAAATCCCTCATACCCTTCTCCTCCACCAAATTTCCTTATCTCTCTCCTACGTGCGCCACATCCTGATTTTACTAGAACTATTTGGAGAGGCCTCAAAAACGTAGAAACAAGAAACAAGAAACAAGGAGAAGAAAGAAAATTGAGCAGGAAACATTGGAAGGGAAATCTCTGATTATAAGCTTTACACAATCAATTTTTCCAATGGCAAATGAAAACAGAAGAATATTGGGCTGGGAGACCTCCCCACCCCCCTTTCATTTCACCCAGATAAAAAAGACACTAAAATTATGGAATTATGTGTTTGTAGATGAAGCAGCTCAGCTCAAACTGGCAGTTTTGCCAAACTAGTAATATAGAAATGTAAAAATATTTGCATCTGCTACCATATAACTATTTAAGGAGTATTGTTAAAAAAATTTAAATAAATATGTAAAAAATGAATAGGAAAACTTTTTTGTAGTTGATGATTTGGACCTCTTCCTCCAACTAGGATTGGTTTGAACAGTGTGTCCTTTATCAAAGAATTTTATTGCAAGGATGCAGATTCCAGAGACTCCATTACATAATTGGAATATTTATATTTAATGGAACAGAAACTTTAATCCAGATTATTCTAGATATTTAGGATACTTTCAGGGATACCAGGTAGAAATAGACCTCATTTTAAGATTTTAAAATCCATCTTATGGTCCATTTTAAGGTCCATTTTAAAGTCTGTTTTAAGGTCTGTTTTCCAAAATTCATAGGTTTTTGGCTAAAAACTGATCTTAAAAAGTTCTGAGATGTGTTAGAACAATTAAAGTGTTTCAAAAATAATAAACAATTTGAATTTATTTAAAATTCGGTGATGGTGATGGACCAAACCTCTGTAGAGAAAATAAAGTAGATGTAAGCTCCAAATTTATTGAAAATATATTTCGGTCTAGGTTGACTCTCATCAGTTCTTGAAATGGTTTCTGTCATGAAGATTAATCGAAAGTTTTTGATAAAACTCTTTTAGACTTCCTTCTTAAAGAAAAAGTTGTACTGCATAGTTATGCATGATTGTACTATTTAACTGTAAGGGCTGCAATCTTACTAGGAGAACATCAAGTTTTACCTCGGGCCCATTATCAAAGGAAGACTTTTCAATCTCATTTTAAAAAAAGATAAGATTATAATAGTCTAGTTTAGTTGCTGCATTTTAAAATAGGAATTAAACATGTCAGGCTCTTTTGGAACCTCATGAAAATCAAACACCTTGATTAATTAAAATCAGACTTCAAAACAACGCTTATCTGTTGTAACACTGGTGGGAATCCATTAAATTGCTCTGTCCATTTTCCATCTGATTATTTTATTTTCCTCCCTATATTACAGTTCTAAGTATTCTTGAACTAGTGTTACCATATAAAAGTGGAATGAAATAATGGAAATCTAAGGCCTGAAAACTGATGTGAGAAAATCTACAGAGTATAGAAAAAATGTATTTACAATTAAAAAAATAAATAAACGAAATGATAATAATAAATCATGGAAAGCCAGAGCTCCTTCTAAGTCGTGGTGCATACCTATTGGCTTTTTATACTAGGATCTGGGGCAACAGTGGCTTCGGTTTTCCACGTGTTCAAGCATGCGTTCAAAGCATGTTTTCTGGGTTGACATTTTCTAACGACAAATATTTCTCCACGTTGGCGACTTATCATCCGCCCGACTTTCTGTCCAACTTATTGCTATATACAAAAGAGCTAATACATTGTCCTGTTTATAGGCTAGACTAATTGCAATCCAAGCTTAGCTCCGGGTCCATATGAGGACTGAAGGGGTTACTACAATGGAACTATCCAATGTGCTCCAAGCTCTGGCTTTGTATGAGAACTGAAGGGGGTAACATCAGTTGAACTCTTCCTATTCCAAGCTGTTGAGCTCACGTCGGTTACACTAGTGCTAAAAAAATCGACGCAAAATATGTGGTATTTTTTATAGCTCCCCCTCCTCTTGAGGGGAGGGGGGCGGGGATGATTTTCACTGATTTAATGGTGGATGATTTTCGATGATTTAATAGTATTTCAACTTGTTATGATTCGCATATATATTTGATATTTTTGATACTACAAATTTTAATTAGCTTCTTAAAAAAACAATTATTTATCCCAGTTGAGTGATGGTTAAAAAAAACCTAAAATTTGATTTTTTAGTTAGGATGATTAACAAAGAATAATACTTCTGTTGTACTTTTGGATATAAAGTTTAAAAATGTTTTACAATACTAGGCTTTTATTTAAATTGTGAACATGTTCTTTTTGATTACATTTTAAAAATTAAAAAAATTTTGCGGATTTTTAAGAATTTAATTTTTTTTACAAAATTAAAAACCTTTAAAACACATTTTTTTAAAATTTTTATCATTCCCTTCCTTGTGGTTACGTGATGTCCCACAAAAAATTTGGGCCCGATCGGTTCAGCCGTTTTGACGTTTATTGGATACAAACAAACAAACAGACAGACAAGCCAAATCTATATATAGACTAGGCTTTTAGGGCGCCCATCTTTATATAAATTTAGCTTGTCTGTTTGTTTGTTTGTATCCAATAAACGTCAAAACGGCTGAACCGATCGGGCCCAAATTTTGTGTGGGACCTCACGTGACCCCGGAGAAGGGAATGATCAAAATTTTACAAATTTTTGTTTAAAATTTTTTATTTTTGGAAGTTTTGGAAATGCGCGAAAAAATATAATGAAATCCGCAAACTTTTTTTGCTTTTGTTTTATACTGCAAGGTATAAAGCCACAATTAAAAGTTGAAATAGAAGATGGGCGCGAAGCGCCCTAAAAGCCTAGTATTAACAAATATGTAAACAATCTATATGTAAATTTGGCTTGTCTGTCTGTTAGGGTGGGTGTCTGTTTGTTTGTTTGTATCCAATAAACGTCAAAACGGTTGAACGATCGGGCCCAATTTTTTTGTGGGACATCACGTGACCACAGGGAAGGTTTATGAATGATAGAAATTAAAAAAAATGTGTTTTACAAGGTTTTAAATTTTGTAAAAAAAAATAAATTCTTGAAAATCCGCAAATTTTTTTAAAAAACCCGCAAAATTTTTTCTTCTTTGTTTTAAAATGTAACCAAAATGAATATGTTCACAATTTAAATAGAAGATGGGCGCGTAGCGCCCTAAAAGCCTAGTCTATACATAAGTTTGGCTAGACTTCGCGCCCATCTTCTATTGAAATTGTGAAATGTTCTTTTTGTTTACATTTTTAAACAAAGAAGAAGAAAAATTTTGCGGATTTTTAAAAAAAAATTCGCGGATTTTCAAGAATTTGAATTTTTTTACAAAATTAAAAACTTTTAAAACACATTTTTTTATCATTCCTAAACTATCCCTGTGGTCACGTTGTGTCCCACAAAAAATTTGGGCCCGATCGGTTCAGCCGTTTTGACGTTTATTGGATACAAACAAACAAACAGACAGACAAGCCAAATTTATATATAGATTATTGAAATGAAAAAGGAACCAAGCATGTGTTTAAATGATGACAAATCCTGGACTGAAGGTTTTTAATTCTTTCAATTTATCCTCCATCTCCATATTTTCTATTCTTGCAATGCAGATATTTGTTTTTGTCTTATACATGTCTCCATATTGTGTTGAGTCTATTGATGCAGACTATATTCAATACTTGTTTTGTGTACTATTGGGGATTACTTGCCGAATACAAGGAAATACAAGGGAGCAAATCATATGACCGGGTGGGGGGGGGGGGGTTCTACAGTTTTACTTCATTTTCCCTTAAACTTCTTCACTAGCTTGGGAACCCAGCCCAACTTTGCCCAGGTTAGGTTTAAATGACTATTTAGTTATTTTTCCCTTTATGTCGACCCACTAAATTTAGAATCTCAAAACCAAGCTAAGAATATTCCCTTGCTTCTCCCTAGTTCCCCAATCAAAGTTTGAGGCAGATCGGTTAAAGGGTTTCTGAGTTATGATACAAACAAAGAAACAGAGATTACTACTTGTAGATATATATTTAGATGTTTGTTGATATCTGGAAAACGTCAAAACGGTGAAACTGAACAGGCTCAATTGTATTATTGTTGTAACTTGCACGATTCCAGGAAAAGTTGGTTGGCTGAACGAAATCTGAAAATGTTGTCTCTTAAAAATTTTGATTTATCAAAAAATCATATTTTATTAATTTATCTGTATTGTTAAAACCAAAGTTTATTAGGTTAACAATGAGATTTTATCAGATTCTCTTTGAGATACTTATTATTTAAGTCAAGGTTAGACTAACTCTGTAGCATACATACCAAATTCAGGTTTCTTAGAAAACTTTTAAAATATTTTGTATTGTGAAAACAAGGTTAGGTGTGAAGACTAAATATATGCTATACTCAACTCAGCTCTTTCTATTCTGTTTGCAGTGTGCACACGTCTCTTTCAATCCATGGGGAATGGGATATAGAGTATACATACCTAGACAACTCCCTGGAGCGAGGGAAGGCACACTACACTATTATTTAGTTCAAACCACAAATGACGTCACAATTTACAATTCTTTCTTTCAACCACGCCTTTTTTAGTCCGGCGATTGCTTCTATGCTTACAAATGTTTTTGTTTATGCCTTGATAACAATTTTTTAATTTAGGCAACATCATGTTATCCAATATGCGTATGATGCCATTTAAACCTTCGGTTGAGTAGAAATGATATTAAGACATCTTTGTTTTTCAATCTGAGATTTTTAAATGCAGGTTTTCTTTTGAAAACGACTATATCTTCAAGTAAAGGGTTAGAGAGTGAATCGTTCATGCAACTCTTTAAACGATTTGTCACGAATTTTGTCCACTATCCCTTGAACGCCAAGGGTATCTTCTGAAAATAAATCTTTTAGAAGGTTTTTTTCCGGAACGAAACTATAAATTTTCTTAAACTTTTAATATAAAAATAACAAAATATGTTTAACCAAACCCTTCAACATCACTAAGAAAACAGTTAAAAAAATAGAAGGTTTGACAAACTGAAGTTACAGGTTAAAATCTCTGTTTGTAGAAAATAACATCTGTTGAACTGAAACTCAAATAATACATGGTGTCAGGTGTCTAGCTTTGTATATTAAAAAGACAAACATAAATTACTTAGAAAATATTGATTTTGTTTAATAAATTGAAGTCTTCCTAAAGTTATTAAAGGAACTGTAAGCGTAATTTCAAGTGACCCTGTCCATGCAAAGATGGCAATGCCCGATTTACAACGCTACCCTTAAAAGCTTAATAATACTATTCATGTTTTTGTTTCTTTATTTTCACTTGCGGGTTCTCTGCAAAAGTGAATTACGCATTTCTTGCTGAAAAAAAAGCTTTGGAGAAATTAGTTGAACACTTTTCGAGACAGGAAAACGGGCAACGATATCTTCCACATTTTTGATCAGATTAAAATGTTAACGGGTAAATCAGGCATTGCGATCTTTGCATGAAGGGTCACTTAAAACTACGCTTATATTCCTCTTGTCATTCAACCTGCATACTCACCCATTTTCTATCAGTAGAAGACTTTTTCCTGTTCCGTAATGAAGGAGGAGAGGAGTGGGGGGGGGGGGGCTAGTGTTAACATGGTTCTGAAATGTGATTTTTTCTGTTTGATAAAGTTTCCATATATTGTCTTTTTATCGCTTTCCATCATAACATGCAAATTGTTGAATTGTTTATTATCAAACTCGCATTAATAACAAAGGATTTATTTCTCTTAAGATATGTTACTTCATTTCATGTTAATTCTAATTGCAACGAGTCAGTGTTAGTGTTTTATCGCTTGTTTAGTATTCTGTAAATAGAAGGAACCTATCCTAGTTTATCATATTGGATCAGTATGGTGCTGCTAAAAACATCTATTAGAAATATAGAAACAAAACAAAGAACTATACATGAGGAACATGAGTCTATAAGAATTGTTTAAAATATTGCTTAAAGTCTGTAATTAAAGGTTTAAGAACTTAATTTAAAGAAGTGTTAACGCTATTTAAAATCTAAATGTAAAACATTGGTAACGCTTCTACAAGAATTTATAAGAAATTATTATTTTGTTTGCTATGTTATACGCCATTGTTACTAAAATGATCGTTTACTATTAGAGGCGTACATAGAGCTAATCCCCCCCCCCCACTGGCCCAAGGATTGTTACTAGAGTTTTTAAACATTAAAAAAAAAAAAAAATTTTTTTTTTTTTTTAGATATTTCCAAGGAGACGTGAGAGCAGCATCGTATGAAGGATATGGCACTGATGTTTATATTTATCTGAATGCTCTTGCTGGAGAAGCAGTTGAGATGCTTCCTGTCTGGAGTCCTACAGCATCAGATAAGGTTGGATTTTATCAAAATACCGCAATATGTATTCATATGTTTGCCCCCCCCCTCAAAAAAAAAGTCAAACCGGGACCAAATTTAATGAATAGCAAGACAGAGTTGAACCACTATGAAAACTCGAACACGTTTTCAAAAAAATTCACTTTTTCGTGGAAAAAAAAATTCGCCTTTTTTAAGGCTTCTTTACAGTTCAATTCTAAGCTTGATAATTGGTAGGCCGCTAAGGTCCTGCTGATATTGGTAAATTCAGCCTTTAGTAAATTATTCTTCTGTCGATTTTATAGGTTTTCTTCTTCACAGCTTCACAGTTCAACCAGTAAACATTAATAATAAATAGTTACACTTTGTATTCAAGGTGTCCCACGAAACACAACAGATTAGAGACGACATCGTCTTTATTGTTGAAATTATGGAAATCTCCATAATTTTTACAAGCACAATATGTATAGCAAAAGAAATTTATGAAATGCAAGGATTAATTGTAATATGGGAAAATTGTCGTAGGATTTTATTTGCGAAATTAAGCTAACGAACACATGCCGTAAATTATATCAAAGACGATCTTAAAGTCGTCATTTAACTGTCATATTTCATGTGACACCTTGTATATTTCCTGTCAGACTCAACAGACATGAAACTTAAACAATTCATCAGTTATTTCAACCAAACAACCAGATTATCATCTAAATTCAATGTTTAAAGAAAGAACAAAAGAATGAATATTTAGATTATCTACAGACTTTATCCTGTATCTTCTTAAAAGGACTTTTAACGTATTTTCAAGTGACCCTCCATGTAAAGATGGCAATGCCCGATTTACAATTTTACCCTTGAAAGCTTTGTCCGATCAAGTAGGAACTAAATATCAATGTTTCTGTTTCTTTAAACGGTTTTATCTTCATTTGCGGTTTCTCTGCGAAGGTCGACTTGCGCAATTCGCATTCCTTGTTTTAAGAAAAATTGGAGAACTCGATGTAGATGTAATGTAGACGTAGATGTAATTTGAAAAGGCTCCATTTATAGAGTTGCATGTTCGATTTTGAACGTTATCCTTTACAACTTTGTCTGATCAGGGTTGGAGATATCAATTTTTTTTTTATTTGAAAATTGATTATATACAATTGTTTTTCTCTTCAAAAGGTTCTTGAGGATGCAAAAATCCAGTAAAAATTTCCAGAATTTAACACGTTTTAAGCCAGAAATATATTTTTGGTTGGATAAGGTTTAAAGCCGCGTTGTATAAAAGGTGTTGGGTACTTTCCCAAAGGCATTTTCCCAAGCGTGACTTCCCAAGTGACAATTTCCCAAGTGGCAACTTCCCAAATGTGCAATTTCCCAAGCGACAACTTTCCAAAGGTTAGGTTAAGCCTTCTGAGGCGCCGCAGGCTGCAATGGGGGCCGAGCACTGGGGCTAGGATGAGCAAGGGGGCCGAGCACCGCGGCTAGAACATGATGAGGGCCGAGCGCTGCACGGCTGTGACAGTATCTAACATGTAAATTAGGCATGCCTCTCTCTAAATGTAGGTTTAGTTAAAATTACAACGACAGTTCTTTTAATAAAGACGACCCTTATCTCATGTTTACTAGTTTGACAGAATCTATTTTTCATTAGTTTATGTTTTGTTTATTTTATCTAGATGCGAGCTCGAAGTTCTCCTGTATCTGATTGGACGGGGAAATCTACTCGGATCCGATAAATCTTGGAAACTTTTCACAATATTTATGTTTCTATATTCTTGTCAGGGATAGAAAGAAATAAAATACAAAGATCAAGAATTTATTACTTTTATTCACTATATTGTCATTTATTTAGTTAGTTTTTTGGTGGTCAAAAAAGCAAACTTATCATTAGGCAACTTTGATAATATTTTCATAATTGCAAAAATTTAGGATTTGCGACAATCCTTTTTGTTTAATTCAGGTTGATGTTTATGTTTGTGTTTGTGTTTTTGTTTGTGTGTTTGAGTGTTTGTGTGTTTGTGTGTTTGTGTGTTTGTGTGTTTGTGTTGATGTTGATGTTGATGTTGATGTTGATGTTGATGTTGATGTTGATGTTGATGTTGATGTTGATGTTGATGTTGATGTTAGTATACTTATAGTTTTTTCATATGAAGATAATTTTTGCAATTATAAAAAAAATGATTAATTATAATTTAAATTTACCACAAATGTAGGATAAAAAATAACTAGTCTTTTTAATTGCAATTTTCACTTTTATCTGTTTGCGTTTAAGTCGCCATTTTTAATTGTATTTAAAAAATCGGAGATTTTTCTACTTACGTTGATAGATTTTATTAGAAAGTAAACATCAACATTTTTTCTCAGCAAACAAAATTTTCACCGTCCGTAAATTTTATTCATAAATTACTGAAAATTATAAAAGAATTTATATAATTTAATGCATTGTTTATTATATCGGTTAGATACGCTAAATTAGATTTGAACTTTCACCGCTCCGATATCTCGGCATTGCGAAGGTCTGAAATAGTTTGATAATTAATAAATTAACATCTTTATATATAAAAAAGCTGAGAAACCCAGCTTTGCCTGAAAACTAAATTTTCTCTATATAAGTCGACCAACTCGGTAAGAATTTTCAAGCCAAACTAAGTCGTTTGACTGAGTTTCTCAATCAAAATTTGAGGCAAATTGGTACAGGGGTTCATAAAACATGATGGAACATCTTCTACTTTATATATAGAAGTAGTAATAACTTATTGTTTGAATGTCCGATCATAACTCAGAAACCCCTTGACCGATTTGTTTCAACTTTTGATTGTAGAAGCACGGGAAATGGTGTTTCAATATTCTAAATTGAGTGGGATTACTTTAAAATAAATTTTAGTTAGCAGGCTTGGTAAAAAGCATGAACTTAATTGCTTTATACTTAACAAGTATCAACTTGACTCCGGCATCGGTATCGTGCATGAAATCGTGCAATCGTATCGTGCAATCAGAAGAAACAAATATCGAAACAACTTTTACTTATCTAAGCCAAGTATTTTGGTAAATATTTGTTTTAATATTGAATACGCCATCAGATTCAGATTTATTTGTTCAAGCCTAACGAAAAAAAAATTGTCTTCATTGACTCAATTGTTAATTAAGTTTCAAAAAAGATAAACCATTTGCAGTACACTTGTTGTTAGCTAATATGTTGGGTTTTTGGTAAAAATCCATGCGTGTGCGTGATGTCCATGAAGAGTACAAAACCCAAGGTCATTAAATACACGCCTGCACTTACAAGGATCGATAGTACAGTGTAATATAATATGTAATATATCGTATTTATAATGCCATTTTGAGTTCAAAACAGAAAATTTAGATTAAAAAATGAAATTGTTAATGCAGAAATAATTGCAAGTAATATAAACAAGTGATTTTATTTTCAAATTAGTGATCCAAAGAAAGATTGCCAGGCTGCAAAATTATAGTATTACAATGTGCATCATAGTAAGATAAAGAGTTTAGTAAGTTGGTGAGGTGAAATTAAAGGACAAGGCTTTGCAACACTTTAAAGTCTGTCCAGTCTTGAAAATTTATGCAACTTTTCAAATCTGTTTGGATCTCTGTGAATCGAGTAAATAATTTGCATAAATCTTGAAAAAAAGACATCTATAGTGTTCTATCTGTGTTGTTATTAATCTATGGTAGTAATTATCTATTGCTTGTGATAATTTTAATTCATAAGTGTACAGCGTAATTTTGTAAATATTGAAATTGAATAATTAAACATTCTTATTTTGTAGATTTTTGACTGAAATTGAAAAATGAAAATTTTTACCTCGGACAACAGTTTGGATAGGATAGTGTAGGATCTATCTTCATTATACACTGATACTGAGGGTTCTCTAGTAAACTACTACACCTAGATACATGTACACTGTACAGTTAGGACAGTGTAGGATCTATCTTCATAATACACTGATACTGAGAGTTCTCTAGCAAACCACTACACCTAGATACATGTACACTGTACAGTTAGGATAGAGTAGGATCTATCTTCATAATACACTGATACTGAGGGTTCTCTAGTAAACTGCTACACCTAGGTACATGTACACTTTACAGTTAGGATAGAGTAGGATCTATCTTCATAATACACAGATACTGAGGGTTCTCTAGTAAACTGCTACACCTAGATACATGTACACTGTACAGTTAGGATAGTGTAGGATCTATCTTCATAATACACAGATACTGAGGGTTCTCTAGTAAACTACTACACCTAGATACATGTACACTGTACAGTTTGGATAAAGTAGGATCTATCTTCATAATTTACTGATACTGAGGGTTCTCTAGCAAACTACTACACCTAGATACATGTACACTGTTCAGTTAGGATAGTGTAGGATCTATCTTCATAATTTACTGATACTGATAATTCTTAAGTAAACTGCTACATTGTACACTGTATAGTTAGGATAGGATAGAGTAGAAGCTATCTTCATAATACACTGAAAATTATGAATAAAGGGTAGGTGAACCATTAGTTTGCCAAAATCTGAAACGGAGATTTTTTTCTCGGGAAAAAAAGAGAGTAATACAGAACTATACAGAGGGATACATTATAAAATATATTCCTTGAATTAGGACTACAGTGGGCTACAAAAGGATCTTTAAAGAACCACTCAAGGCCCATGGAGGCCGGGGTAATAAAAGATGGTCCAGGGTGGGGACAAAAATCTTTCCTACATTTTTTTTCGTGTTAATTGACATTATAATGTATTATAATGGTTTCCATGAGTACTTCTGCCAATTTACAATCAAATTAAGGCTTTACTTGAATTACAAAAATGTGTACTCTTTTTAATTCTTAGAGTTGTGATTTTGTTAAAATCAAATTTTCCGAAAAGTGTCTTACCGTTCTACTTCCACCTCCCACTCTCCTTGAAGTGTGATGGCGCACACACCCATTGTACAGGATGGGAGTGTCCAGGTTGACCCGCCCGGCTGGAATCCTTGATCGGTCACGCAGCCACCACTTATAGAGGGGGAGCTAACTTGTCTGCTGTTCGAGGGTGAACCACTTGTATAGGAACCTGATATATAAAGCAGGAATTATTATTGTTATTATTTCTATTATTATCATTTTTATTATTATTATTATCATTTCATTAATATTATTTGTAGTAGTAGTAGTAATAGTATTGTTATTATTATTATTATTATTATTATTATTAATGTTATCATTACTATTATTATTATTGAAAATGTCGAGAGTAAATTTTATCCATGTATTAAAAGCAAACTTAAGAGCATACACTTTCGAATTTTGATAATGATTCTTAAAAGTCGAAAACCACAAAAGGATGAAAGATATTTGAATAAATATCTGGTTTAATGACATTTGAGTGGAATGACCCTTAAAACCTGACCTTGAAAAGGTGACCTAGAATGACCTAGATGCGTGGAACCAGAATGACCTGGATGTGCTGACCCAGAATGATCCGTGAATTTATGTTGTTCGAAAAACAAGTTTACAGTGTTTGTACTGCAAGCAATGATTTATTTAGATTTGATAAAAAAAAATATTAAGAAAATGAGTTTTTGTCACAAACTAAAAATTTTTAATCCTTATATATTTGAAACATGATAGTGTAAAGCTTTGATATTTCAAAATTTGATTATTTGATCTTATAGAATTCATAGTTTGGAATATGGTCAATGACATTGGGTTGCAAAGATATTGGAATTAGAAAATCAGTGTCTGTGACTAAAACTCAATTCCTTTGTTAAAGGTTAAAGGTTAAATGAAAGGGTGTAAAGGCAGAAGCACAAAATGTTTTAGGAGTTGATCGCGACCTATATAAGTTCTATCTGATGTTAAACTATGTCAACGTTATATAATTCTAACACAGTCTCATACCAATTTCTCGAGACAGGAACATTTAAAAGAACCCATATAGTTCGGGATCAACTTCTAAACTGTTTAGGTTTCAGCCTATACAGTATACACCCTTTTATTTTAACTGAACAGTCTTTTTAAATATATAATACCGGAAAGACTTAATTATGGTTAAAATATAAAAATTAGCAAAAATTTTAAAATAAAATTTTTCCCACGTCTTTATTGTTTAATTAGCCGTTGTTAAATATAATAAAATATTTGTATGAAGATGGGGGAAGGCAACCCGCACCCCTTTTACCTCCAACCTGCAGATGACGTCACAAAATAAAATGGGATTTGTGGCAAGCGCTTACCTTTGCCTTCCAACCCTCACCCGTTTTGCCTTCCGTCTCGATTTATATAGGCAGTTATTATAAGTCTAAAAAATGTTTTTATTTCTTTTAGGCAGTGTCAGGCAGGCACGACTGGTTTTAACTAAAAAAATTTAATTGAATTTTTAATAAAATAACTCTTTTATTGATTATAGCATATTCTTTTACTGAATCGCACGCCAAAATACGAGATTTTATTTTTAAAATGATTTTTTCTTGGTGTTCCAAAACTTTTTTCAGGTATATTAACGTCAGCCCATATATACTTAAATATATTGATAAAGAGTATTTTGCGAAAAACCGCATTTGTCTTATGAATACAAATGCGGGTTGGAAGACATACGGGTAATTGTGTAGTAATAGCACAATGCCGCAAATAAGATCTACAATAAAATGTTGTTTGATCAGAATTTTTAAAACTTTCGCTTATTTCAGTGGGGAAATGTTACAAACAAAAAATATGATGAATAAGTTTATTATATAATTGATACCATGAAATCTTTATAAATTTGAATTAATACTGCATTCGTCTATAATGAGCATATACAAATCAAGAAATTTTGCTGGAAGGCAAAACGGTTGAGGGTCGGACGGCATAGGGGTAAGCGCATGCGGCAAATCCCGTTTTGTGACGTCATCTGCGGGTAAAACTGGTGCGGGTTGCCTTCCCCTTTTCGTAGGAAGAACTCTCAATAAACACAAAAATTTCCATGATCAAACCATAGTGATCGCGATAACCAATGTGGGCACATTTTACTTTGTGATTACTATTTTTATATTCTGTATTCATTGGTTTCTCCCAAAGGATGACGACTGTACAGAATTTATTTCGTTTTATTTCTTACATTCCATGGTTGCCTGGGAAACGGCCCTCAGACCCTCAGATCTTTATATTGAAAAAAATTCATGTCGTCATTTAAAGGGTCTATGGGCATAAGCTCAAGTGACCTTTCCGTTATATAATGGCATGTCCGATTTACAGCTGTACCCTGAAGCACTTTGTCTAAACCTGCATAAATCAGATATCCGTGTTTATAATTTTGAAATATAATTATTTTCATTTGTGTTGTCTCTATAAAAGTAAATTTGCGCATTTCTGCTGCAGAAAATAATATAGAAATGATCAGACAAAAACACTGTAAAGTTATAAAAACGACAGTATCTTGTACAGGGTACAGGGTACAGGGTACAGGGTACAGGGTACAGGGTGCAGGGTACAGGGTACAGGGTATCTTGTACAGGGTACAGGGTGCAGGGTACAGGGTACAGGGTATCTTGTACAGGGTACAGGGTACAGGGTATCTTGTACAGGGTACGCCTCTTTGAAAATATTTGAAATCATTTAATATGAATGAAGTATTATTTGGCAACCCTGTGGCTGTGTGTGCATTATTTTAAGACAGTTGCAATATTGCTTATTACATTTTTTCTCAAATATTTTAAACGTTTTACACCTTTTCATCGTTGCAAATTTGTAATTGTACCCATAGAGGGTTTCATAACAAATTCCTTCCGTATTTTTATGAGTTGCAAACTTGCAGTTCTGATTTAAAATATCAGTTGGCGCTAGTTTTATTTGTCTAGTAAATCGTTGTTTTATCATCATATATTCATAGAGTTAGCCAACATAGAGGCGTATACAGGGGTACTATCAGAGTTCACCATATACATAGAGTTAGCCAACATAGAGTTCACCCCTCTGGTTTTTAGGCTCCAACGGGCGCTGAGGCTCCCCCTGGAAAGGAAAGAAATTTAAGCCCCCACTCCCCAACAATTCATATATGCGCCATATTTTATCATTTACGAAATTCACATCAGTTCGAAATTGAGACTTGAAATCCAAATTTTCTAATCTTGCGTTTATAATATTATAATATTATTGCTTCCTGAAGAAATCATCTTGATATTTGGTTTGGAAATCATCTTGATATTTGGTTTGGAAATCATCTTGATATTTGGCTTGGGAATTAACGTTGTTGAAGATCTCTTCCACTTCCGACACATATCCAGGAGAGTTGATGGCAGGATGATCACGCTTAGTTGTATCAAAACTGCTGAATAATGTTGAAGGATTAAATACCTCCTGTTGATATGTGTTCGGTCTGACCATAACAATATACTTATGTTTTAAGTTCAATAAATCTGAATAGTTAAAGGGACTGTAGACGTAATTTAAAGTGACCCTCTATTTAAACCACGGTATTTCCAAACATGCTCTTTAAAATTCAAATGAAAATTTTATTTTCCGTGATTCCCGGAAAATAGATAATAACAACTTTTTAACATAAAAACAGTCAATATTAACTATTAAAACTATGCAAATGTGTAAGAAAATAATTTTCAACAATAAAAATAGGAAAATCTTCATCATCCTTAATCAGACAACGGCTTAAAGGATAACATTGTGAATTGAAACCTAACAAACGGAACGTCCCTTGAAATTCTTTCTACAGTTCCTTTTAGTGATAATTTTTCTACAGTTCCTTTAGTGATAATTTTTCTACAGTTACTTTAAGTGATAATTTTTCTACAGTTCCTTTTAGTGATTGTTAACATTACAGTAAGTAAAAAAGTTTTCAATCAAAATTAAATAAATTGATTAAAAGTACGTTGTTCCTTTGATTTAAAAACGGAGGCTGGTCGGGATTAAACTCTATATATCGTAGTTGAGGTCGTCTTGGTCGTTGAAAATTATGTCTTAGGAACACAGACCTCCTTCACACAATTTCAAATAACTATTTGGAAACTTTTTATGAATAAGATTAAATTTTTTTAAAACTATATTGAACATTTCTTAAAAATTTTGCCAAAATATTTGTTTTCTTGATTGATATAAATGTTCTGATTCCTTCAAACACCAAGATGGTGCCTTAACATAAAGTTTGAGCCAATATTGAATTCATTACAGCTCTATTAAAATGAATATATATTCTCCCTAGATCCCTGTTTGTTTAGAGAGGTACACAAGGTGGGGGGGGGGGGGATATTGGGGTCAGACCCCCCTGGATCATTAAAATCTATGGAAGTCCTGGAAAGAAAAATAAAATAAGCCACCCTGGACACAATCCTGTATACGCCCCTACTGTTAGAATCAACACACACCAAAATATGAACCAGTTAAACCACGTGATTGTAAAATCTAATATTTCTTTTTAATTCCAAAATAATTGAACAAGTTTTGCTAATTGTGTGCATGCAAAACATGAAACTGTTCCTAGTGTAAACAAGGGCGAAGAGTGAAAATAAAAATATTGTTTTTCTTGTGTCGGCACACCTTAACATAATATATATATACGCTCACTAGTTTACGCACAATGAAGAACTGAAGTGGTGCGTAAACTGCGTAAACCAACGCCTGTTGTTGCGACCCCTCAATGGCGTTAAGATCATTTATTAGATACAGTGTGTCTCATAATTTCTTATTGCGGTTTCCAACTGGAAAAGAAACTATACAACAGAGTAAAAAAAAACGTGGTTTTAACGTTTTTTTAAGATGCTTAAAACGACAATATCCTTTCTAAATTGTTGGTCAAAATAAAAATAAGAGTGAACCGTTGTGAATCCGGCTTGCCACTTTTTTTTTAATGGTTGGTAAATAATGGTGTCACCTACAAGTCTGCACTCTACACTCTATATTCTACACTCTATATTCTACACTCTACACTCTGCACTCTGCACTCTACACTCTACACTCTATACTCTACACTTTACACTCTACACTCTATATTCTACACTCTATATTCTACACTCTACACTCTACACTCATCAATTGATCTTGCACCAACTGATCATTAAATAATTGATCTTGCACCATCTGATCATTAATTATTTGATCTTGCACTATCTGATCATTAATTAATTGATCTTGCACCAACTGATCATTAAATGATTGATCTTGCACCAGCTGATCCTTAATTAATTGATCTTGCACCAGCTGATCATTAATTAATTGACCTAGCACCATCTGATCATTAATTAATTGATCTTGCACCAGCTGATCATTTATTAATTGACCTAGCACCATCTGATCTATAAATAATTGTTCTTGCACCATCTTGTAATTAATAAATTGATCTTGCACCAGCTGATCATTAATTAATTGACCTAGCACCATCTGATCATTAAATAATTGATCTTGCACCAGCTGATCATTAAATAATTAATCTTGCACCATCTTGTAATTAATTAATTGATCTTGCACCAGCTGATCGTTAATTAATTGACCTAGCACCATCTGATCATTAAATAATTGATCTTGCACCATCTTGTAATTAATTAATTGATCTAGCATCAGCTGATCATTAATTAAATGTATTTTCTTGTTGTTTATAATTTGTTTCTAAATCCAGGGATAGAATTTATTTTCCACTTGGAACTCTATATCTTCACACTTCATTCATTCTCTAGGACTCTTTAATACTTAACCATTGATATCAAGGTACAGGATACTTCATAAAGGGCGTCCCACTAAATATGAAAATTACAAGCAGATTTTAAAATCGTCTTTGACTTCCGTTAATTGATAAATGGTTAATTGCAATGATTTATCAATTGTACTTATAATACATGCTTTTTAAAATACAGTTTATATTTTTTGTATCTTTAAAATTAACTAAGATATAAGATATTTAAACAATGTCTGTTTAATTGTTAGTATGTACGATCATAACTCATGAACCCCTTGACAGAAATATCTCCGTTCATTTTAAAAAGTTGAAGTCCCAAGATATAGGGGTTTTCAGTGTTAATGATTTCAACTATATATTATTAAAATTGTGATCACAAAAAAGGCTGCGTGCATCAAAGACGATAAGAGAGGGTTACCCCAGGGAGTAAGGATAACTGACGCAGTTCGCCCTACCATATGTTTATGCGTGCTTTGCAGACGGGTACTCCATTTGTATAAAAAATATTCAAAATAGGCTATTGTATACGCGGTAATTGTACATCAGACAAATATTTCTTATACAAATGGAGTACCCGTCTGCAAAGCATGTATAATCATATGGTAGGGCGAACCGCGTCCCTTCTATTCCTTACTCCCTGCTTTAACCCTATAAACGCTGGGGGTCTAAATCTATGCATAGCCTGGAGGCGTTTGTCGCCCCCCCCCCTTAGGAAAAGGCCTTTGAGAATAGGTATAGGGTTGAAATGCATGTTCATAGCCCAATTTTTCAAGGCCAGTTCAAAGAAAAAAAATAGACCGATTACTTTAATAATTTGGGCGCTAAGGAGGGTTGAAAAAAATGCCTTAAAAAGGGTTAAAAAAAAAAATTTTAAATATTTTTTGTTTTAAACAAATCTCAAAGTGTGACTCATGTTTCTACATGAATTTTTCAGGGGCTTTTCAAAATTATAGTTTTTACCCTATAAATTGAAAAAAAAGATTTAACAAAATATCCTTTAAATTACTTTTCATTAAAAGTCACAAAATTTCACGGTGATATTGTCAAAAGTGAGTGCTAGGACAAAAAAAACTAAAGGGGGACGCCAAGTGCCCCCCTCCTCAGCCTGTTTAGGCTTAATGACAGTGAAATTAAAGATTAGTTTTAGTGGCCTTTCCCTTTTATTTGCTACAGTATCTGGTTGAGAGTTGGTCAGTTTTCTAATAGTAGCATAAACCTTGAACTACTGCCTTGCTGATCAATATCTTAAATACCAACTATAGATAACATCCTACAATCTACTGGGGTTTCTAAACTCAAGTCAACAATCTACTGGGGTTTCTAAACTCAAGTCTACAATCTACTGGGGTTTCTAAACTCAAGTCTACAATCTACTGAAGTTTCTAAACTCAAGTCTACAATCTACTGGGGTTTCTAAACTCAAGTCAACAATCTACTGGGGTTTCTAAACTCAAGTCAACAATCTACTGGGGTTTCTAAACTCAAGTATACAATCTACTGGTGTTTTTAAACTCAAGTAAACAATCTACTGGGGTTTCTAAACTCAAGTCAACAATCTACTGGGGTTTCTAAATTCAAGTCAACAATCTACTGGGGTTTCTAAACTCAAGTCAACAATCTACTGGGGTTTCTAAACTCAAGTTAACAATCTACTGGGGTGTCTAAACTCAAATATACAATCTACTGGTGTTTTTAAACTCAAGTCAACAATCTACTGGGGTTTCTAAACTCAAGTATACAATCTACTTTTGTTTTTAAACTCAAGTCAGCAATCTACTGGGGTGTCTAAACTCAAGTATACAATCTACTGGTGTTTTTAAACTCAAGTCAACAATCTACTGGGGTGTCTAAACTCAAGTCAACAATCTACTGGGGTTTCTAAATTCAAGTCAACAATCTACTGGGGTTTCTAACTTCAAGTGAACAATCTACTAGGGTTTCGAAACTCAAGTCAACAATCTACTGGGGTTTCTAAACTCAAGTCAACAATCTACTGGGGTTTCTAAATTCAAGTCAACAATCTACTGGGGTTTCTAAACTCAAGTCTACAATCTACTGGGGTTTCTAAACTCAAGTCTACAATCTACTGGGGTTTCTAAACTCAAGTATACAATCTACTGGGGTTTCTAAACTCAAGTCAACAATCTACTGGGGTTTCTAAACTCAAGTCAGCAATCTACTGGGGTTTCTAACTTCAAGTGAACAATCTACTAGGGTTTCGAAACTCAAGTCAACAATCTACTGGGGTGTCTAAACTCAAGTCTACAATCTACTGGGGTGTCTAAACTCAAGTCTACAATCTACTGGGGTTTCTAAACTCAAGTCTACAATCTACTGGGGTTTCTAAACTCAAGTCAACAATTGTTCAAGGTTCTGTAGTGGATTATCAGTTCAGTTTAATTTTAAAAGTAAAGTTTAACGCCTGATAGTGAAAAATATTTCAGAATATTTTGCAAATGGAAATCTAAGAATAAGTTTAATTTGTTTTACAAACTGAAAAATAATAACTATTTACAATAAATAGAATTTATTTACAAACTATTTTAAACTTTAAAAAAATATCAAACTTAAAGAAACCATGTTCAATAATATTAACTACAATGTTAACTGAAGGACCAAGTATAGTTTTGCTAAAGGTTAACTCGAGTACTAAGTTAATGATTAACAGTAAAATTGAAACGACAACATACATATATAACAACAAACAAAAACAGTTAAACGATTATAGGTTATTTTGTTTTTAAAATATCATCTTGTCCTCATGTTATTATTATAAAACAAGGAAAAGGTTTTTTTTAAACTGTTAAAATTTCGGAAAAAAATCTGTCTTACAAAACATTATCTAAGAAAACGTGTTTGCATTCAAATTATTTGTTCAAAACAGATTTGAGGTTAAAAGTTTGCTTGAAAACGTTTATCTACGGTAGTAGGCGATTATATCAATATAATGAAGACGACTTTTTATTTAAGTTTTAATTGTTAACAAGCCTTTTGCGAATTACAAGTTTACAAGTAAGTAAACAGACTCTTTATTAATTGATAACTTCTCTTTGTTTCCATGTTTTTGTCTATCCATGCTGTTTAGAAGCTTTAAATAATTTAAAATTGAAATCGAAAGTCGTCTTCATTATATTGAAATAACCATTATCACCGTAGTTCCCAGACTGTTGTCTAAGTCTGGTTAAAAGCGTTTATTTAGTTCCCAAGCTGTTGTCTAAGTCTGCTAGAAAACGTTTATCTAGTTCCCAAACTGTTGTCTAAATCTGCTTGAAAACGTTTATTTAGTTCCCAAGCTGTTGTCTAAGTCTGTTAGAAAACGTTTATCTAGTGCCTAAACTTTTGTCTAAGTCTGCTAGAAAACATTTATCTGGTGCCTAAACTTTTGTCTAAGTCTGCTAGAAAACATTTATCTAGTTCCTAAACTTTTGTCTAAGTCTGCTAGAAAACGTTTATCTAGTTACTAAACTGTTGTCTAAATCTGCTTGAAAGCGTTTATCTAGTTACTAAACTGTTGTCTAAATCTGCTTGAAAGCGTTTATCTAGTTCCCAAACTGTTGTCTAAATCTGCTGCAGGAAAGGAATGTTCTATAAGCTTGAAGGCACTGTATGGACACTGAACGGTAAAAAGAACATTTAAAAAGAGTTGAGAGAAAAAAATTTAAAATTAGTTGTAGATTCTTCTATTGCAAAAGAAGACAATTAGCAAATGTTTATAAAAAAAAATTCCAATTTCATTTTTTTTCTTTCTAAATGTTCCCTGAGGATACGCTAGATCACATTTACCAATATGCTCACCGTGTCTTCTACAATAAAAGGACAGTGAGATACATTAACCTGTGGAATAGAAAACAACATTTTAGCAGATCCTAAGCGTATTTGATGTTGTTAAAAGTAAATATTTTTATCATTTGCTTCGAAATCAACTTATTAAAAGAAAAAAATTCCTGTGTTTCGTATTTATCTGACTATCTATCAAAACTTTAGTTTAACAGTCATCTTCCAATTCCACAGTTTTATAATCCCACTGTTCATGAAGTAAATTAGCTAATATAAAGAGCAGGAACTCCAATACATTGTTTACATATAAACTGTATTACAGTTCCTGGGAGGAATGTAAACAAATTCAGTGCTGCTAGCTTAATGGTTAGACTGAGTTCTGTTTTTATTCCTTCCAGAAATTGTAGTTTTCACATAAAATTCCCTAGAAGAGGCATGGTTCATTTGGCGTACCGTACCGTTTTGCCTTTTAAAGTCTGTGTAATTGTACTGTACAGCTTACGGCCCGATGCTTGAAATGAACCGAAGTTAACGTGTGTAAACTGGTTTTGTAAACAAAGATATTGTGTTTCTGAAGGATAAAAATCAATCCATAGAAAAATCTTTTCTAATAATAAACAAGGTCTTCAAGATTTTTGAAGGTAAAAAAATCTCCCAATTTATAAACAATAACAAACTCGTTTGTAAAAGTGTTTAATTTGAATTTTTTCAAAATTAAATTCGAGAATGTTTTCTTTAATCCGTTTCACCTCATTTAACAACTTCTAAACTTGTGTGTATAAAAAATAAGAAAAATTTTCACCTCGCAGCAATATATTCATACAGTTCTTGAGTATCCGACATACTATAATCAAGCCTAAAATAATTCTTTTTTAATCCAATCCATATTGTATGCTAAAATAATTGTGTTTTTAATCCAATTCACATTGTATGCTAAAATTTTGTGATTAAAAACTTAGGATTTGTGGTGAGTCTAAGCTTTCTTTTCGTAAAGAATGTTTACACCAGGTTTTATTCAAGAAAGTACATTTCGACATTTTTGTCAAGAATTATTGTTCTGAATGTCTATGGAAGTATGCTGGTTTTACCGGAAACTGGAAACATGTATTCAACTCCAAGTCAAGATAAAGTAAATGAACTCTGACATTTAGTCAATTTAGAACACAGGAGGAAAATATTTCTTTTTAGAAACTCAAAACCTTTAAATCATAAGATTCTTTTTCCAGTGGACAAATAGTGCAAAATGGTATAAAAAGTGTTTTAAATCTAAGTTTATTTTAAATTTTTAATTTATATTTTTAAAATATATTTATATTCAAAATATGCAATTTAGAGAAAACGTGGAATACTTAATTACTATAATCTCAAAAAGTTTAGTAAATTATAGGGAGCAAAAAAAAAATTATTTCATTTATGCGTTATCACTGGAAACTCATCTAGATTTCATACTACAAACATCTAGATTTTATACTACACAAACATCTAAATTTCATACTATACAAACATCTAGATTTCATACTGTACAAACATCTAGATTTCATACTATACAAACATCTAGATTTCATACTACAAACATCTAGATTTCATACTATACAAACATCTAGATTTCATATTACAAACATTTAGATTTCATACTGTACAAACATCTAGATTTTATACTATAAAAAACATCTAGTTTTCATACTATACAAACATCTAGATTTCATACTATACAAACATCTAGATTTCATACTACAGACATCTAGATTTCATATTACAAACATCTAGATTTTATACTACAAACATCTAGATTTCATACCACAAACATCTAGATTTCATACTATACAAGTATCTAGATTTCATACTATAAAGATCTAGATTTCATACTATACAAACATCTAGATTTTATACTATACAAACATCTAGTTTTCATACTATACAAACATCTAGTTTTCATACTATACAAACATCTAGATTTCATACTACAAACATCTAGGTTTCATACTGCAAACATCTAGATTTCATACTATACAAACATCTAGATTTCATACTACAAACATCTAGATTTCATACTATACAAACATCTAGATTTCATACTACAAACATCTAGATTTCATACTATAGAAACATCCAGATTTCATACTACAAACATCTAGATTTCATACTATACAAAAATCTANGTTTTTTCTATTGTTTATAATAATAAAAATAATTCATTTCTTCACAAACATCTAGATTTCATATTATACAAACATTTAGATTTCATACTACACAAAAATCTAGATTTTATACTATACACACATCTAGATTTCATACTGTACAAACATCTAGATTTCACACTATACAAACATCTAGATTTCACACTATACAAACATCTAGATTTCACACTATACAAACATCTAGATTTCATACTATTAAACAAACTTACGTAGTTTGAAATAATGATTTTAACATATCTTAAAAATACTTATTCGGAACTTGGAGTTTTGTTTGAAACATGCAAAATGAGTTATTTTTGTAGTTTTCCTGATTCAGGATTCAGGATTCAGGTTTGTATAAACCCTTTAAATCTTTATCAGAGCAGTAATGAGGAAACTTTTTCTATTAAAATAATTTTGTTGAATTCTGTAAAATTCCTTCAGTATCATAACTATATTGATCCGCAAGTTACTTTCATAATGAAACCAGTATTGAAAACTAACAATTTAAGAAAGAAAATCTTCATAATTTTTACTTTCAGAATAAAGTATAAGCTGTTGATCTCTGTAAACAGGGGGTCACTTGAGATTATGTCTACAGTTGATTTCATTACTTACAAGAGCAGGGTTTCCATTGCTTTCCCCACAAGACCATCGTGGTTTAGACCTCTGGATTCAGCTAGCTCACAAATAGTTCTCAAAACACAAGCCTTTCCGTCAAAACCAAACCTTTAATAATAATAATAATAAGAATAATAATAATGAATATGATAATAATAATAATAATAATAAATATGATAATAATAATAGTAATAGTTCAATATAATTCATTTGATCTTTATTTTCTAGCTATATTTAAAGGGTTGACGCTCAAGAACTAAGTGGAGAGTATCGTATCCTCATTGAGAGAAACTTGCCTTTTGTGTTTTTAACTTTTTTCAATTCTAATTTATAAATTGAATGCAGTATGGTAAAAATGCTGATTTAAATTGAAAAAACTTTATATACAGGGTGTCCCACGAAACATTAAAGTTGGTGAATAGTTTTGAATGTCTTCTTCCACATACTGTATTAGATATTAAAGACTTTTAGCCGTTTATTTCTTAAAAAAAAGTTTAACTCACATATTTTTTACAGTGAAATCAATTTTACTATAATATAACTGTCATATAATAAATGTTATTAGTCTCTTTACTATCAAACAATTTATCAAATTATGGAAGAAGACATTTTAAACTATTCACCAACTGTCATGTTTCGTATCTGTAATTAGGATGTGTTCATGAGATGGTAATACTAAGAAATTTAACTTCATGAAAGCGGTAAACTCACCACGACAGATATTATAATTTGTGTTTAAAAAGCAACTTACTTGGAGAGGAAGTTTTCTGCCATCTGGTAAAGTGTTGAATGGTCGTCTTCAACTCGTCGTATAGAAGATTTCTGTTTAGTTGGTAAACTGTAGGAGAAGGGCAGAGTTATATCAAGGGTAGAACCTGAACAGAATATAAGTGAATATATTTACAAAATAATGTATGTGGGGGTCCAAAAAATAATAGATGTGTCGACTTTAATATCGTCTTCAACCTAAAAATATTGTTACTTAAGTTTCAGTTTAAAAACGGAATTACAGTGAACCCCTTAATAACGAATACATCAAAAGAATTCATCAAATGTCGTATTCTTCACTTTCTGATAATGGAATGTTGCAGATATTTAGTTATTTAATTAAATGATTATATGGAACTCTTTAAAACTGTTCTCGCATAATCATGGCTATTTATTTATTTTCGCAAATACTGAAATTTACGTAATATAGTATAAAACTCATTGAAAAATTGTCAAGACGACATTTGATAAATTCTTCCGATGTATTCGTTATTAAGGGTTTCACTGTACAAAAAGTTTTATGTTCAAGAGGGTTGTTAATTAAAAACTTTCATTTAGCGCAACTTTAAGGGTTGTGAAATGGGAGGCCAGGGGGAGGGGTTATTAATAGCTTATTGTAAAAATGTTCTAATATAGTTGTAAGCTTCTCGTCCGAGAGCCGGATATTCGTAGGGGAGGTTGGGAATAAATAGAGCATGGGGAAATCTCCTCCTCGTATGTTGCTTCCGGGTCTTAAAACCTGTTTCCTCGAGGGTTGAGATTGGGACAGAGAGACTAAACTCCAGGTTTATCTCCGAACCTTCAGGAAGAGAATTGATTAAAGAGCGTTTACTCCGGACCCAACCCTGAACCATGAACACGGGGTTCTAGATTTTTGTTCCAAAACAATTTGGAAACTCCTCTAGATTTAATTCAAATTTAATTTTAAATGAAAATCCGAAAAAAAGCTTCTATTTTGATATGTCTAAAAAACTTATCGCTCAATTACTGTAATTTTTTAATCCTATACATCTTTGCAACCTGGTGATTTAAACCTTAAAAAATCAAACATTGAGAAGTTAATCTTTTACTATATCAAAGGTTTTATCAACATAAACTATTAAGGTCTACGGCATCAAATTTCAAAAATACAGTTTGAGGCGAGTCCTTTTCGAAACACAATTTATTCTGATAAAAACATTTTGTTTTGTAAACCCTCGTATTTCCTTATTTCCTTGTTGTTAGTAGTGTTAGTTGTGGGATTATCCGAAATGTGAAACCGTTGAACTTGTGGATTTGGCCCTGTGCTACTTTGTTTTATCTTGGGAGAAGAAGTTTATTAATGTCGTCGTCCAGGAAAAGGGTTCAGAGATTAGAAATAACAAGTTAATTTGCCAAGTCAGTTTTGTAAATCCAAGTGTTAAAGTAAAGTTGCTTTAACTTCCCTTTTAAAGTGACCGAAGACGTATTTTTGAGAAAAGAACACTTTTTTGCAAAAACAAAATAAAGGTTTAAATGGTACCGTTGTGAATAGGGAATATTCATCTTTAAATAGAAAAACAGTCAGAATTAAAACGACATTCTCTTTATATGAATCCGCAGACCGCAAATCTCTTTTATCGAGAAACCACAATTATGTGAACGGTCCCTTTAAAGTTTCATATTTTTAATGTCTAAAAAGAGGAAAGTCTCATATTTGTCAGGCTGCCATGATCTTGTAAAATAAAATAATTCTCCCTGAGTGATGAGCAATAATAAGATGGTTAATATAAATAGGTTAGTCATTTGAACTCTCTGAAATAGGTAAACATACAATCGTCGTCGTGGATATCAATACAAAAAAGACGACTTTAATTCTTGTGTTCTCCCAAGCTTTTAAATTTTTTAGATAAACATAAACATGGAAATAAAGAGAAACTGACAATTTGCAGCTTCTCTTTGTTTACTTGAAAGCTTTTAATCTGGAAAAAGCTTGTTATGAAATCAAAACTTAAACAGAAAAGTCGTCTTCGTTTATTGATATGAACGCCGACCACTGTATTAAAATGTATTTCCGTGCATAACCGTCTTGAAAGGAAACAGCATATGAACTTTTATGTGTATTTGATCTATATATGATGCTGCTTATACAACCTCTGCATATAGGTGTTTCCATGCTTAGGTAAAAAAAAACTTACTTAAGTTGCTTTAAAATGAGCATGCTTAAGTGAATAACGTAAACTGATGATTTAAGATTGCAAAAGAACTTGCGTTACATGCATTGCACTGGTTTAAGATCAATTTACATCCGACTGTTAATTGTCATACTAATTTTACAGGGACTCTTACATCAACCAATTTTAACTTAACAACTACATTAATTTTAAATCAACTACATTAATTTTAAATTAACTACATTAATTTTAAATTAACTACATTAATTTTAAATCAACTACATTAATTTTAAATTAACTTACATTCAACAATTAAAAAAATTTTAGACGAAATTTCAAGTGAACCTCCATTTAAGTGGTATTTCCGATTGAACACTGGTTTAAGAAGTTAACTTACATACATCAAGGAACTTGCAGACTGGTAAAGGAAGGGATACAGTGTTAAGACTCATGATCTTAGTTCCCTCCAGGAACCCGGAGAGAGTTCTAGTAAGCATACTGGAACTATGTTTGCTCGAGGCTTTTTTATATCCTGTCTCTGCGCTATAGAAATGCTGGGAGGTAGTGAAGGTTGGTGGAGGGGGTAGGTAGGTAGGTACTTCGGTGGGAGTAGAGTAGGTAGGTAAACTATTAGGGGTCAAGTAGGTAGGTAGACTGTTAGGGGTCAGGTAGGTGGGTATATTTGTTGGTTTCATATAGAAGTTGGAGAGCTCAGACTGTTTCTCCAGGTACAAGTCAAAGTAGTCATTGTGAAATCTTTTGGTTTTCTCTAGGGGTCCATCCAGGGTACCGTCCAGTAAGGTTCCGTCTAGTGTTTCATATATTCATTCCTTAAAACCGTCATGAAGAATCTTTTGGATCTTCTTATTAAAATACCATCTATTCTGTGAGGCTAAAATTGTGGTTATTCGTCATTAATTGTACGTGCTACCTCTAAACTAATTAGAATTAGTATTGTACAACCGCAAAACCAAATAAAATTAGTATTTAGGTACCATATCTAAACTAATTATAATTAGTATTGCGCTACCTATAAACCAACAAGAATTAGTATTGTGCTATACCTCTAAATCAACAAGAATTAGTATTGTGCTATACCTCTAAACCAACAAGAATTAGTATTGTTCTATACCTCTAAACCAGCAAGAATTAGTATTGTGATACCTCTGAATCAATTATAGGCCGTTTATTTGTTTTTAAGGGGATTATTGCACAGTTCTAAAGATGCCAGAGCTGAAAACTTTAGAATGGGATATCCTGAATCCCGATCGCTTAATCTGAGTAACACTTTTAATTTTCTTCCTAATCCTCTCTTTTTGATACCCCTACTCGATAAAAGTTACGTTTGATAACAATTACAGATAGTATGCTATATTGATTGGATAATACCGATCAAGCATTGATCTCGATATCCATCATGCAAAAGTTTTCAGCTCAGTGAAAGTACCATTTAACTTTGTATGTTATGATTGTGAACATATAAATATGATAAAATAAATGTCATTAAATCAACACTGGACTTATATCAAAGAGAAGAAACTATAGGCTAAGTATATATATCAATGGTTAAATAAATAAATATATAACATAAAACATTTAGATACTGTGGTAGGCGATAATAATAATATAATCAAGATTACTTTTGATTTTACTTTTAAACAGCATGAATACACAAAAACATGGAAATACAGAGAAGCTGTCAATCAAAAAAGCTTCTCTTTAATTGCTTGTAAACTTGTAATTTGAACTATAGGCTTTTATATATACTATTTTACCGTCAGCTTAGATTCCCATTAAGAACCACTTTTTCTGGTTCAGTTTATTATTAGTAAATTAGTAATTGTGCTACCTTAATAAACTAATTATTACAGTTCTACCTTAATAAACTAGTTTATAAATACTGTGCTATCTTAATAAACTAGTGTATTAGTATTGTGCTACCCTAATAAACTAGTTTATAAGTACTGTGCTATCTTAATAAACTAGTGTATTATGTGCTACCCTAATAAACTAGTTTATAAGTACTGTGCTATCTTAATAAACTAGTTTATAAGTACTGTGCTATCTTAATAAACTAGTGTATTAGTATTGTGCTACCCTAATAAACTAGTTTATAAGTACTGTGCTATCTTAATAAACTAGTTTATTAGTATTGTGCTACCCTAATAAACTATTTTTTTAAGGTTGTGCTACCTAATTACAGTTAAACCGTAAATGAGCTGCATACATCGAAAGAATTTATCAAATGTCGTCTTGACAATTTTTCAATGGGTATTTGCGAAAATAAATAAATAGCCATGAATATGCGGGAACAGTTTTAAAGAATTCAATTTAATCATTTAAAAACTTAATATCTGGAACATTCCATTATCAGAAAGTGAAGAATACGACATTTGATTAATTCTTTCGATGTATGGCTTATTTAGGCTTTATTTGTATTATAGTTCTACCTTAATGAACTAGTTTATTAGTAATTGTGCTACATTAATAAACTAATCATCATAGTTCTACCTGGAATAAACTAGTTTATTAGTATTGTGCGAGCATAATAAGCAAGTTATTATAGGTCTACTATATTAAACTAGTTTATTAGTAATTGTGTTACATTAATAAACTAATCATCATAGTTCTACCTGGAATAAACTAGTTTATTAGTATTGTGCGCTAGCATAATAAGCAAGTTATTATAGGTCTTCTATATTAAACTAGTTTATTAGTAATTGTGCTACATTAATAAACTAATCATTATAGTTCTACCTGGAATAAACTAGTTTATTAGTATTGTGCGCTAGCATAATAAACAAGTTATTATAGGTCTACTATATTAAACTAGTTTATTAGTAAAGACCTTTTAAACCTAAAAATTTTTCTTTCTTTTTTTGCTTTAATAAAAACTAAAATTAGTATTGTGCTATAACTGTACTCACTAATTAAAACTGTTTAAAAGTGTTTTATCTAACTCTAGTATATGTGAAAAAGCATAAACAAAAACAATATATGCCTTGAGTAACATTATTTGAGAGTGCCGCGGTGAAAAAGTAAGATATAACGACGATCTGTTCACTATTTAATCCCATGCTTCTGAAATATTTACAACAAAATTTAACGACAGAAACATAACCTAGGTCTCTCATGCAGAGAAATAATTATATATAATATTATCATGGGGATAGTTTATGTTTTTTGAGATTTACATAATTATTCATTTTCTTATTTAGTTTTATAACTAACAGCCAATCTGATCGCTCGAAATGTATTAATGAAGGTTAGATTTACTTTCCGTCTCATAATAAAGATTTTGCCAGAAAACCATATTTTTATTTGAATTTCGTGGATTTCATAATTTTAAGTTAACATCCTAATGTAATTATATTTAGCAGTTAATTGTAATGGTAAAAATAAAAAACAAATATTAAATAATTTAAAAATAAACTGAGAAAGCATTGGAAATCCGCTAAATTTAGAAGAATTCAAAAGATTCAAAAATATTAGAATTAGGTTCAACTTAAAATTGGTGAAAAGTCTCTTTAAATTCTTACTATATTCTAAAATATTCCCAAATATCAGAACTTTTGTGTGAATATTATTAATCTTGAACACTAGAGTAGGATATCCAATGTGGACACTTTTAATTTGAGGATAAATGCTTGATCCCTCAATAATCCCTTTCAAATTGGTATGAACACAACGGGATATCGAAGAGGAATTAAAATAATCCGAAGATCAGTATTTGGAGATCAACGCTTGGTCCCTAGATTTACAGTTCTGACTTCATGTAAATACAAGTAAACAGATGCTGTAAATACAAGTAAACAGATGCTGTAAATACAAGTAAACAGATGCTGTAAATACAAGTAAACAGATGCTGTAAATACAAGTAAACAGATGCTGTAAATACAAGTAAACAGATGCTGTAAATACACGTAAACAGATGCTGTAAATACAAGTATACAGATGCTGTAAGTACAAGTAAACAGATTCTGTAAATACAAGTAAACAGATGTTGTAAATACAAGTAAACAGATGTTGTAAATACAAGTAAACAGATGCTGTAAGTAGTAAGCACAAGTAAACAGATGCTGTAAATACAAGTAAACAGATGCTGTAAATACAAGGAAAAAGTGTGAAAATAAATGTGGAGATGTGAACGGTGCAGAAACAGTATCGTAACTAGAATCCACTAGTATACACAGTCTCCTAATATACAACTCTTTTAATTAGCAGACATGATACTCTTCAGTTCACATGAAAACACTGAACAAGGAAATACAGAAATATCTTTTCTTTCAAGAATCGTGGAAATATTTTATCTTTTGTTTTGTTTTAGCAGGGAAACCGGAAAACAATGAATAAAGATTGCATAAAATACGGGGAAGTATGTTTTCAAGCTAATTTTGTGATTTAAGCTTTGTGTATTGAAAATCTGTTTATAACTAAGAAAATAAACCAGTCATTTTTATTCCTAATTCAGCATTTTTATATCATATATATATATATATATATATTTCAGTTTTTAACTTCACATTTTTATTAAAAAAGAATTATACTAAACATAATGTTTCACGTCTATCATGACGATCCTCAGTAGCTAGAATTATATTTATTATAAATTAACACGATCAATAATAATCTAAATTTATCATATTTTTTTAAACGTATTGAACTCCGGCAGAAATGTCGCTACAACACTTCAATAGTTAATAATTCATTTCTTCTAGTTTTTTCTATTGTTTATAATAATAAAAATAATTCATTTCTTCTAGTTTTTTCTATTGTTTATAATAATAAAAATAATTCATTTCTTCTAGTTTTTTCCATTGTTTATAATAATAAAAATAATTCATTTCTTCTAGTTTTTTCTATTGTTTATAATAATAAAAATAATTTCATGACTTTTTGACTAAGATTTATGATTCAACTATCTGATACGAAAATATGCAATTAAACTTTTATTATTGTTTATTACTAATGATAAGATGTAAAACAAAACAAGTATGGCAACAAAAACTATAAAAACAAGATAGAGAACAATATTAATTATACAATGTCGGAAGCCTTCGGACTAAAAAGCATGAAGGAAAATGGAAAGAAGTTCATAGAACGTATAGAAAGTACTAGTCTCTGTTTTTTTCCGATCATAACTCTTAAACCCCTGCAATGGACCGATTTGCCTCAAATTGATTTTGATTGTGGAAATCGGCGGGAGTAACTAAGAGTAACCTGGTTCCCAAGCTAGTAGAAACATGATAAAAAATAGGATCATATTGATATATATGTAGATAGATATCGGCTTAGACAAAAGATAGACGGATATTTCAAACATTTTGTGATGGGATAAAATAAACTTTGATTAAAATAAATTTATTAAAACTTTTAAAAGCGCATTTTAAAAATAAGACAATTCCATTTCTCTTGAAAAATTTTGTGTTAAAAACGACAACGAAAAGAAAATCCGCGAAATTGTAAAAACCTTTTTCATTTCATATTTTATACAGACTTAAATAATTTAGTAATGGATAAACTTTAGAAACACAAACTAAGATTATGGAAGACATTACAATACCATTTAAAAGCTGCCAAAAAGCACAATGTGCAGTAATTTCTGCATTATCACTAGAAAAATAAAGATAAATCTAAAACTCTTTTTATAAATCACAAAAACCGTCGAAGCTATTCAAGTTTAGATAAAACTATAACAAAATAAAATTTAAAGCTATGGAAGACAAAGCTATAGCAAAAACAAGCGCATACGGTACGGTAAGATGGTCGGTGATTATATCAATACAATAAAGACGAATTTTTTGTTTAAGTTTTGATTGTTTTCATGCTTCTTTCGAATTACAAGTTTATAAGTAATTAAAGAGAGGTTTTTAATTGACAGTTTCTCTTTGTTTCAATATTTTTCAAAATTTAAATCTAAAGTCGTCTTCATTGTGTTGATAAATACGACGACGACTGAATTCTTTAAATTGGTATAAACTTCATAGTAACCACAGGCGAAGGGTTGAAGAATCAAGCGATAGAAGCTGATTAAATAATTAAAGATGGAGAATGAAAAGTCAGCTGATAACGGTATGACATACAGGGAAATTAATTATGAAGATAATCAGCTGACTAAGGTATAAAACTTTTGAATGCTGATGGAAAATTAAAGATGGAGACTGGGCATTCAGCTGAATATGCTTTACAGCTCTTCTTACTTCTCCCAACCTTCTGTGCAGAATAGAACGTGTTGTAAGATTTTTCGATTTCTCCCCTGAAATTTTTTATAGTTTTTCTTCTGCTAGTATGTAATATATGGATTTATAAATATCTTAAAATAAATTATAAATAGATCAACAATCTTGATAACATTAATATGAATTTCTCGCATTTGGGACTGAGATTTATTCTATATAAATACGAAAACTAAAAATGAAAAAACTTACAAAAATATAGTGTTGAGAATGTCTCCAAGAAGACCCATTTTCAGTGGGGTTGAATTTATTTCACAAATTAATCTCTGTACACAGGACGCACCATTCAAACCAAATCTATAGAGAACTGAGTTTAAAAATAAATAAAATGTGTTAATTTTATGAAGGATAGTTAGTTTTTAAATTGTATAAAATTCAAAAAATAACAACAGCAATACACTGCGGTATCTTATATCAATTGGATCTTATTTTATATTTTTTGTACCAAACAGTGGTCCCCAAAATAAAGTAAAATACACAGAAACTGCTTATAAACTCGACAAAGATGTTGATGGATTGTTTAGCTTAGAATCTGCATTTTACAAGAATTTTTCTTGTTAAAGGGACTGTAAGCGAAATTGGTCTGACTCTTCTTCATGCAAAGATGGTGCAATGCCCAATTTACAACAAAGTTTTCTCTACTCAAGTTTATTCTGATATGACTTACGCATTTCTTCTGCAGGAAAACATTTCGTAATTATCATAATTAAATACTTTTAAACCTAGAAAAAGACAATATCTTTTACATTATTGATCCAATGAAGGTTTCAAGGGTACCGTTGCCATCTTTGCATTTAGGGTCGCTTAAAATTAGGCTTACAGTCCCTTTAAATGGTATTTTTTTTCATGACAACAGTGGTAGAAATTGATTAAAAGTCGTCTGTCATTTTACTTAATTATGGTCACCAATGTAGTTTAATTTGGTTTTCAAATTGTAGATTGTTGCTAAGAATATATCTAAGTACGTGTGCATATATGGCGCTTGGACTGAAAGATATGACAACTTCAAATAAACGTTTAAGCTTTAGAGAGCAGACATTGTTTTAAATAAGCGGAATATGAACGAAAGTTTTAGAAAATTAGAGCAACTGTCAAACTTTTGAGAAGTCTAAGAAAAGATTGAAAAAGTTTGAAAAAACTTGAAAAATCGTTCAAAATTAAGAAAGCGCCCAAATTTTTGGAAAAGCATAAAGAGAACTGAGGAAGTCTTTTAAGAGCTTGAGAAAGCGAATCAAGTTTTGGGAAAGCTTGAGAAATTAGATACAGCTTTGAGAAAGTTTAAGAAAGCAGTCGAAAAGTTATAATTTTCAACAAAATTTCCAAATGAGCATTTATTTCAAAACAGAAGTTGATCAATCTTACCCCTTAAATGATTGTGAGAGACTATCAAGCACCCTAGATCTGGTAATGATCTGAACTATATCAGAGAACCGAGGAACATCAATATAGGGCATCAAGTAGAAATCTGACATTACCATTGATCAAAATCTATTTTTTTAAATGATTTTTTTCGACCAAAATGTTGAAAATAGTATTTGGTCCTATTGATTGTTTTAAAGATATAAAAATTTTAAATGATTGCAATGTATTCCTATAATGCCTCCCATAACTATATCATCAGGGCCAAGGATTAATGGGGCCTCAAACTCAATAAACATCTAAAACAATATTTCAAAATCATTTCAAATTTTTTTCTTCTTAAATCAACCATACATGTATTTTCTTTTTCTGGGGTCAAAGTAACGACGATATTAAAGTTGTCCAAGCACCATAACACACTCATACAAAATGTACATAAAGAAAAAAATCATGTACTGAGTCTCTTGGTCACCTTGTAAACCCTGCTTGTACATGAAGCAGTACGTCATGTACATCAGTGGTGGATTTACGCCTACCGGTAGCCCCGCCCAGGTTGGGTATATTGAACACGATCGGTAAATCTTTGAAATTCAAACTTTTCAAAATGTTTAAGGATAAAAATCTTTGTCAATAATACAACAAATAAGAACATAATGATATTTGGAATTATAAATTAATACATATTAAATGTTTGCATATCTAAGTATATTATAACAATGAAACATACTGTTTGCAACTCAAAAAATGCTTTTCTTAATAGACTAGATTATAAGTGGCAGGTATTCTTTTCCCCAGTGCCTAATTTCGGATACCGGAGTTCTCCGTATTTTTATGGCTAAAAATTGAGTGCCGGAAAACAAAAGGTTTTCAGAAGAAAAAGGTGTAAATTCACTATAGAAAATGCTAGCTTTGTGCGTCAAAATCCCTACAATCTTGCCGGTAGCTTGGACAACGAAAAAGGAGGACAGATTTTCCAGGTTCTTTGAACAAAATAAATTGTCGATGCTTTAATGTTTGAATTTCCTAGAACATATTGTTGAATAAAATCTTCGTTGTAGTCGAATAGAACACTGGTAAATTCAAAGAAATACTGAAAAATTATATTTTCTGAAAGTTATTCAAAGTAATTTTTAGTTTTGTTTTGTTTGAATTTCCTAGATTTAATAATTGAATGAAATCTTGATTGTAGTCAAACAGAGTACTCGACATTTCAAAATAATACTAAACAAATATTCTTTAGATAAACTTGAATGATGCGTTGGATTTACACATGATTCAAAAGAATTTTTTTTTGGCATTATATTGTAAGATTTTATTAAAGTAAAAATGTGAATCTTATTTTGGTGACATAACCTGTATTTTACATGAACGGAATTATCTCTCCCTTCCCAATTACTGGGACTGTTATCGTAAATTCAAGTGATATTAAAGGAAGTGTTCGCGAAAAATGAAAGGGGGTATAGGTTTACGTCGAAAAATATTCTATGGTGATTGATACTAATCTTACTTTTATCTGTTGCGTCTATATGGAGGAAATTGTTATAAACGACTCATACCGAAAAACGTAGCGTCTACACAAATTCTGAAAGTTGCAACATACGACTTCCATCATAAAAAAAATCAATTCAATTCCAAGCAAATCATTCATCATTAACCAATAATCATCGATTTTTTTGACGCATTCGTACATAGTTGATATTTTCTAATATTTTGGATTTTTTTATAAATTAATATTTCGCTTACAACTTAATTTCACGGCTGGCGCCGGATTCCTTCCTGGAAAACATTCCTGGAAAATATGAAAATATCATCTTCATTATCAAAAAAATCCTCGAAACAGGAATGAACAATTTCAAAAGTAATTCTCAGATCATAAAAAAATAAAAAAATATTATGAAATATTACCTATATAAAAAAATCTATGATTATAGGTTGCATATATTTGAATGATTTGTTTGGAATTAAATTGATTTGTTTACGATCCGAGTCTAATATTGCAACTTTCTGAATTTGTATGGACTCTACATTCTTCGGTATGATTCGTTTTTAGAAATTTTCTCCTTATAGACGCAACAGATAGAAGTAAAATTAGTAGCAATCACCATCGAATATTTTTCGATGTAAACCTAAACCACATTTCATTTTTCGCGAACACTCCCTTTAATGATAGCGTATCATGTCCGATTCACAACGGCACCCTTGACATCTTGAAAACAATATTTAAATTAACAGAACTGAACACTTGTCAGGTCGTTATCCTCCACATTATTGTTTAGCTAAATGTGTCAACTAAAAGGGTAACGTTGTGAATCGGGAACCATTAACTTCAAGACCCCCCCTCCATGTAATGTCGTCTTCAACCTAAAAGCTCCTCTCGGAGACGAGAAACCAAACCAAACAATTTCAGCCCGCTTCTCTTTGTTCTCCGACAACGGAATATAAACACTTTTATTAATTGTGAACCACTTCAAAGTTAAGCAAAGAATATTTTCATATAAAGAATTAGTGACTTTCCTTAACATTTAATTGTCACTCTTTTCAGAAGTTTTAATGTATAAAAAAACGTCTTAGGACTCCCCGACAGTTTAACCCACAGATACTCAAATAGATCGTAAGAATCTTTTCATTATAAATTCGTAAACCATTGTAATAATTATTTATCATTATTCATTTCATTTTTTTTAGGAAATAAAGAGTTTTCTGCATTATCGATTTTGATTTGAGGGTTATTCCGTTGTCTATCTGTTCATCGTCAGAATCTTGTTCCTATCCGACAACACCCTTACATTAAGCTTCTACTTTTGCGTTTAACTTAACGAGAAAGAAAGAAAATACATGATGATTTTTTAAAGAAAAATAATAGTTTAATAGTTATTAAATAATAAAGTATGATAATATATAATAATTAATATTTACACTGAATGTAGATCCAGGGGGTAAGAAGTCTAAAGCTCTTTTATTCCTAAACATATTTTGTTTCAAAAATGTTTTTAAAGAAAAATAGATGCATTATTTTTCAAGTGTGCTCTTATTCTTTCAATTAACATGTCCTTTTATGATAACTTTTAGTTTTTATATTTGAAAATTAAAAAGTCATTGTTAAGTTAAGTCAAATGGTGTTGAGGGCGAAAAGAAATAGTTCAGAGGTACGGTTCAAGGAATTGAGTCTTTTCTCCAACTCAAATTTTCTAATCCCTATATCTTTATAACCTGATGCAGTAAGCCTTTGATGTTTTAAACTTGTATCATTAATGATCTAACAGAATTTATACTCTGAAATACATAACGTCTACGACATTGGGTATAGCTAGGAGAGAGAGATTAGAAAATCTGAGTTTGTGGCAAAGACTCGATTCCTTTTTATTTCATACAAAATAAATGTTTTTAATAATATTTTATCGGAGCAAATAAAATAAATGTTTAGAGAAAAACGTCTTGTCACAAATCATCAGATTACAAAGAGGTCGATGCATATAAAGAATACCTAGCTACGTACAGGGGGGGCAGGGTGATATTCACCCCCCCTCCTGAATTTGGAATTTTTGTTACTATTTTCAGAATAGTGAAAAGTTAAAAATCTAGTTTTTAGTCTTTAGTCATTAATTTTGACTCTTTTTGAGTCTTTTAAGTCAAAAAAATGTTCGACTGCGCCGCGATTTTTTGTTCCTAATTATGAATTTTTTTGTTCCTACAAAATCTTGCCCCCCCCCCCCCTCACTTAAATCCTGTATTCGCCCCTGGCTACGTACACATGAAATGATATTTTGATTATTTTGATTCTGTTTATAGTCGATAATATAAGTAGAGTGCTTTTAGGATCGCGGAACACAGTTAAACAGTTGAAGACACGTTATTGCATTGACGTTGCAAACAACTTAACATATTTTGAACCAAAACTTTTTTGTCTTCCGGTTTTTTCCGGATCAATCTAGACCCGTGAAGGCTTAACGAAACCTTTTTGAAGCTGTTTAAAAATGTTATACCAATGAAAACTTTTAGAAATCAACGGCAGAACATTTCTGAACTAATTTTCAAATAAATCTACCCCTTAGATAATATACATGACTTAATGAACTTGATGTGACATGCTGAAAAAATTTTGCGAGACAATTATTTCATATAGAATTAATCCGTAACCGACCCCGTAAACTTTTATAGAATTAATCCGTAACCGGCCCCGTAACCTTTTATAGAATTAATCCGTAACCGGCCCCGTAAACTTTTATAGAATTAATCCGTAAACTTTTCTCAGTAGGTCACACACAGCTCTGTGAAGCATCTAGAATTAATTCTTAATTTATTTATAATTCGGTCATGAAATATATAGCCGCGCTGCGGTCGTCAATTTCGAAAAGTTTTTAATGTTTTATAATTCTGAACAGCTTCAGGAAAGGTTCCGTATGGCCTTTACGGGTCCAAAATTACTTTGATGAAAAAATGACACGCATGGCTCTTCGTTTTAGCTTGATCTGCATATTTCTGTCTATAGAGTATTTATCAAGAGTTTGAGTTGGATTTAACATTTCTGAAACTTCTGTAATATAAATTGTTTGAAACAATTCCTTGAATGGCTGGATTGTATTTCTGAACTTGAATTATCAAAGATAGGAAATTCAGAGGATCCTGGAGGTCCAGATGGTCCAAAAAGATCAGAAGGTCCTAGAGGTTCTGGAGGTCCTGAAGGTTCAAGGGATCTCGTTAGATTGAGATGGATTGGCATATCTAACCTCCGTCGACTAAAATAAATGTTATTATATCTTTATTGATTAAAAATGTTGATGTTCTTCGGGAAACTGGGGAGTGAAGACGATTCACAACAATACCCTTAAAAGCTTTGTCTTTATATTCATGTTTCTCTTATTGAAAACTGATTATTTGAAAACTGATTATTTTTAATTGTGGTTTCTTGCAAAAGAGACAATGGCGCATTTCTTCTGCATTTTTTCTGGGGAAATTGTGAGAACTAAACTCTTTTTGAATTATAAATAGGGTAACTTTAAATTACAACTACAGCCCCATTTTTTAAACAAATACCTACAGTAAGACTCTGGAAAACTGTGGAATAGGAAAACGCTATTTTAGCCGGCTGATGTATATCATGGAGAAAACAGGATCTGTGTACACTTGCAGTTGCTGTATATCTTATTCATCGGATTATTAAAGTCATTTATTCATGTCTAACAGTCGTCTTCATTTTCCACATTTTTTGATAATGAAGAAATCCAAAGATTCAAAACCTGTTGGATGTTTGTTTATAATAGATTTCTACCGTACTGTGAGAGAACAAGAAATAGTTAAAATTCTTCTCAATCCAAGAAGAAAAATAGACGATGTCAGATCGTCTGCAAAGTCTTTGTTTACATATCTCTAACCAAACCTTAGCACGTACCACTGCACTATGCTTCAACGTCGGAATAATATCGTTCTCTTTAAATTCCGTTTAAAATTCGTTAATTTTACCTTGAATTACGTTAATAATCCCTTTATTTTACCTTGAATTACGTTAATAATCCCTTTATTTTACCTTGAATTACGTTAATCATCCCTTTATTTCACCTTGAATTACGTTGATAATCCCTTTATTTTACCTTAAATTACGTTAATAATCCCTTTATTTTACCTTAAATTACGTTGATCATCCCTTTATTTCACCTTGAATTACGTTGATAATCCTTTGATTTTACCTTATATTACGTTAATAATCCTTTAATTTTACCTTGTATTACGTTAATAATCCCTTTATTTTACCTTGAATTACGTTAATAATCCCTTTATTTTACCTTGAACTACGTTGATAATCCTTTGATTTTACCTTTTATGTAAAGATGATTGACCAGGTCCAGCAAATAGAATTATCCCAAGCGTAAACAGTCGAAACATTTTATCTGAATAAATTTTCATTTGATTTTTTTTAAATACTTTGTAAAGCTGGAGAAAAATTAAAAATTATGAATGACAGTCGTAATTAATTGAAGAGTGAATATATATATTTGCTAAAACACACAAAAATATTCATTAATAATCAATTTATCAATGACCCAAGATAAATTCTATCTTCAAAATTACAGAGTTGTTTTATTATACGTTGGCATTTAAAAGACATAAGCCGACAAAAAAGAGAAAAAATTCAGATAAATAGGTTTTGCGATCGAATAGTTAAATCCGTGTGTGAAACACTTTAAACCTATTAATCGATGTATAGTAACACAAACAAAACCTACAAACTATTATTCAACAAAATCTTAAGAGTTCGATACAATTTCTTACAAAATCAATTTCTCATTTGATTTTTATAGACACAAATAAAAAAATTTGGGCTAATAGGCATTTTCTATCTCTTTTTGGTTCGAAAATCGTCGACTGTCTTTAAGAATACAGCGGTGAGAGCTATTAGTTTTCAGATAGGATCATTATTCTATATATTTAATAGTAAATTCTGTTTTCTGAGTTTTTGCTTGTTTGTTTTCATGTCCGATCATAACTCTTGAATCTTTAGACTGATTTTCCTAAAAATGTTATTGAGAAACTCGTTAGAACCACAGGAATTATCTAATCTTGGTTCAAAAGTTCCTAGTTAAGTATAGGTTGACTTTTACAATGAAAATTTGGTTTCCCAATAATTTGGTTTCCCAATAATTTGGTTTCCCAATAATTTGGTTTCCCAATATTTTGGTTTAAATAAAGGATTAAAGATGATCGTTGTTAATCTTTAATGGAATGAATGAATTGGTTAATTACAGAAACTATTTTATTCATCATAATTTAATAACCTCTGCATAAACTTATATAATATCTGTTTATGTTGTTGTGCCAATAATAATTTGTAAAATTAAATTAATTATTTAATGTTTTACTATTGTTTCAGACTTTTTGGCTTAAAGTGCAATTTGTCTGTACTTTCAACCTTCTAGCAGGTTTTAAGATTATTATCAACAGACGGTCATTTTCTTATCACGTTCTTCCCTCTTCTCACTTTTCAATCCTCTTTACTATTCCTTCAGTCTTTACTTCCTTTCTCCCTTTTTAATCCTCTTTACTATTTCTTCAGTCTTTACTTCCTTTCTCCCTTTTTAATCACTTTACTCTTCCTTCAGTCTTTACTTCCTCTTCTCCCGTTTTAATCCTATTTACTCTTCCTTCAGTCTTTACTTCCTTTTCTCCCGTTTTAATCCTCTTTACTCTTCCTTCAGCCTTTACTTCCTTTTATCCCGTTTTAATCCTCTTTACTCTTCCTTCAGTCTTTACTTCCTCTTCTCCCTTTTTAATCATCTTTACTCTTCCTTCAGTCTTTACTTCCTTTTCTCCCTTTTTAATCATCTTTACTCTTCCTTTAGCCTTTACTTCCTTTCTCGCTTTTAATCCTCTTTACTCTTCCTTCAGTCTTTACTTCCTCTTCTCTCTTTTTAATCCTCTTTAGTCTTCCTTCAGTCTTTACTTCCTCTTTACTCTTCCTTCAGTCTTTACTTCCTTTATCCCTTTTTAATCCTCTTTACTATTCCTTCAACCTTTACTTCCTCTTCTCCCTTTTTAATCCTCTTTACTCTTCCTTCAGTCTTTACTTCCTCTTCTCCCTTTTTAATCATCTTTACTCTTCCTTTAGCCTTTACTTCCTTTCTCGCGTTTTAATCCTCTTTACTCTTCCTTTAGCCTTTACTTCCTTTCTCGCGTTTTAATCCTCTTTACTCTTCCTTCAGCCTTTACTTCCTCTTCTCCCATTTTAATCCTCTTTAGTCTTCCTTCAGTCTTTACTTCCTTTTCTCCCTTTTTAATCCTCTTTACTCTTCCTTCAGCCTTTACTTCCTTTCTCGCGTTTTAATCCTCTTTACTCTTCCTTCAGCCTTTACTTCCTCTTCTCCCATTTTAATCCTCTTTAGTCTTCCTTCAGTCTTTACTTCCTTTTCTCCCTTTTTAATCCTCTTTACTCTTCCTTCAGCCTTTACTTCCTTTTCTCCATTTTTTAAATCTTTTTTACTCTTTAGTCTTTTTTTCTACTTCCTGCCCATCTTCTTCAGTCTTATCTTCCTCTTTCTCCTTTTTTATCTTCTTTATTCTTCAGACTTATCAAAGTCTTCCTCCTAATATTCTTAAGTTCGTTAGCCGTTACTTCTTCCTCCTTCCTTATCATACTTATCTATTCTTTAGTCTTTATTTCTCCTTCCTTCACATTTTATCCTTTTTTGGTTTTTAGACTTTTTCTTTTTCCTCTCTTTTTTGAACCTTCTTTATTCTTTAGCCCTTACTTCTTATTCTTTCCATTTTTCAACCCTTTTGTCTACTCTTATTTAGCCCTTTGAACCTTTTTATTACTGAATTTTATCTTTTTCTTCTCTCACTCTTTTTCTTATTTTTTCAAGACATTCATTCTTGAATTTTTTAGATTTCTAGAACCAGATTTATGAAGAGGGGAACGACAATGGTGGCCGAAATGTGTTCGAAATGAAGTAAATAAGTAAGTAATTATTTATGAAATATAACAGAAACATACAAAATTAAGTGTTTCAGGAGAAAATATTTAAAAACCTCCAAAAATAGAGGTTGTGGGAATATTTCCCCACAATTCTAAAACAATATAAAAAATAGAAATTAAAAGAAATTAAAAGAAAAGAAAAGGAAAGGAAAAGGAAAGTTGCATATTTATTTTTTACATTATATTTAATATAAACTAGGGGTGGATTTTTAGTACTAACAACTTTTAGCAAAGAAATGATAGATTTATTTGTAATGTTAAAAAAATAGGTTGTAAAAAGATGTAGGTTCTATGCAAAACGGGAATTTTTAAGTATCTTTTCGCGTCGCGTCTTTTCTTTGTAAAATATAAAAATAATTTCAATTTCTAAGATTTGCGTTTTTTAAATGTTGGGAGTGATCGGTCTTCTTTGAATTTAAATAAAAATGTTATAGCATTAAAAATTCCTGATTTGTTGAAGTTAACATTAGAAATGAGAGTGGAAAAAGGAGTAATAAAGCAATTTCATGGTTTCAAAGCTTTAGCCGTTTTAAATTTTTTCATAGCATAAAATAAAAAGGTAATCGTTTTATATCTTTTTTAAATAGTCATTAAAGTTCAATTTAGTATCCAGCCATATTCCCAAGAATCTAACTGAATCTGTTTCTTTTTAGTGTTCAATTTTTTGTGTAGTTTCTCTTAGTTGAAAGAAAACATCGGGACAGTCGTTTTGTGCATTTAGAGTATTTGAAAATAAAATTGCATTAGTTTTCTCAAAGTTAATAGTGAGTTTATTAGACATGTACCAACAAGTTATTTTTTCTAATTATTTATTGTGTCTTCGAAAGTATTCCAGTTTTTTACATTTTGATGCCACATGTGTCGTTGGCAAAGGCTACACTGAAAGGTTTGTTAGAATGGTAGAAGCCATTTACATAATTATTAGACTTGATCCTTGAACAACACCCATCTCTAATATTTCGAATAAGTCTGAGAAGGTACCATTTATATCGACTTTTTGCCCCATGCCGCGTAAATAAGATTCGAACCATTGTAATTTGTTGCCCCCTAATTCCTGTGTTTTCAAGCTTTTTCAGAAGTGTCATATGTAATCAATACATGTGTCGTAAGCTTTAGAAATATCCAGCATGACAAGTAAAACAGATTCATTATTATTTATTGAGCTTAAAATATAGTTTAAAAGTTTAGTGATTGCGTTCATAACATTACAGTAAAAAGCTAAAGTTACTTCGTTCACGTTGACTTTCAGTTTAAAGTTTCTCACTGAATTATCTATAATTTAACTTTTGTATAATTTTTCTACTCCTTCGTATTCTTTTTAAACACGGTTTCAGAATTTTTTTAAAACATGAAATAGATATATTGTTTAATTTTCTGTTCATCAGACTCAGAGCATGATTTTTTCACTTTCAGCAAGAATGCGGTGGCATGGAGAGTAAACAGTGGAATTTACAAGATGAAATATTGTCTGTAAAAATACATGAAGGTTACATCACTTTTTTCAAATCATTCATTGTATAACCAATAAACCATGCCACGTTAATTAAGTGAACAGAGATAAAAAGTTTTTAGATTTAAAAAAATGTTAAATCTTTTTTGATTTTTAAAATTCATTTAATGCAAATTTTTCTTTCTTGCAAAGCAGTGTCCGAATTTATTTAATCTAATCCATGTCTCAAATCCCCCCAAAACCGGTTTTAAATGACCGCCGGCTTAAATCTTGACAAATTTAATACAAATTTAAGTAGAACCAACCATATTTGAGCCGCGGCATAAATTTAAACCGCGGATCAAATTATTTAAATTCGGCTTCTGATCTTTTAGAAATTTTGATGAACGGCATTTTTTCATTTAAAGCCACCGCTTTGTTTAATTTCCAAATTTTCAGATCCTCATTTAAAGGGACTCCAGACGTAATTTCAAGTAACACTTCATTTTTAGAGGTTCATATCCTATTCACATTGGTATCCTGACAGCTTTCAATTGTAGTTTCTCTTCCATAGTGACATAAAACAAAAATATCTTTTACATTTTTGATCAAATAAAGGGTTACAAGGAATTGGGCATGCTTATTTTTAAACTTGGATTAACAACGGAATACAGTCCCTTTTAATAGATATCATAATGTTTCCCGTCTATTTGACATGACATAATATTTCTATTTTTTAAACCTACATCACATGATATTTCTATTATTTAAACCTACATCACATGATATTTCCATTATTTAAACCTATATTACATGATATTTCTATTATTTAAACCTACATCACAAGATATTTCTATTATTTAAACCTGCAACACATGATATTTCCCTAGTGAATGAAATGCCAGACGACTAGATGTTTAATGATTTTATATTTCCATATTGAGGACATTGCAAGATATTGTGACATGATATTGACATGAAATTGTGCAAC